TTTTTTTTTATCCCTTCTTATCTATTTCCACCCTGCCCTCTTTTTTTTTATTAAAAAAATTTAAATAAAACCCCCCCCCCCCCCCCCCCCCCCCAAAATATTATACCTTCTCACTTAATTACCTCGCATCCATCAACTATACTTATCTTTCTTCCTGGTTCTTCAGTAGTTTATTTTCCTTCCTATCTTGCTTAATCTATATAGTATATAATAACTTATATAGTGCTACGGACATTTTAAAACGAGTATATAATATACATCCATCTAGCCCCTTACCAGATACATACCCAGGTTCATATCAAACACCATATTCCTCACAAGAATTTCCAGGCATTGAAGGGTTATAAATCCCAAGATCTAAGTGTATACACACCCCATTGCCAACAAAACGAACCCAAGAAAAAAAAAAGGATACATAAATGCAAGTGAGGAGAACAGGACAAAATAAATACCCCTAAAATGATGCATAAAGATAGATAAGTATATTATAAAACAATGAGTAATCATGGTAGATAGGTAGGTAAATAGGTATCAATTTCTTTTTCGCCCTCACTCCGCCCCTCAATCCCCTTTAAAGCCATGTATAAAACCTATAAGTATTTCTTTCCTCCCTATATATCTGTACCAGTAGAGCAGTAACAAAACCTCGCAGCAAAGTCAATACATTACATACAGTACATGTATAAACGCCCAAATGTACAGATTTGGTAAGACAGTCTTCACAAGGTTCCATTTAGTCGACCTTGCAATTCTTCTTTCCCCTGAGTATTTTATTATTATGTTTTTCAGGGGATTTTGCTGCTTTTTTGTTTCGAAACCTTGTGTCTGGGTATCCTTTTCCTCCTCGTACTTGGTGATATACAGGCGAGATTAGGGGGAAGAGCGCTTCTCCGTTTTAGGTCGCGTGAATGGCGGTAAGTAGGTGAATAGAGGGGATATAAGATTGGTAACGGGGAAAGGGGGCTTGAGTGATGCTAGGGTAGTTGCGAGTTTGCAGAATGAGCCCAATGCGGTTCGAGAATTGAGAGGCATAGATGGCATGCCCCTTTATATGCTGATCCAGATAACGCTAATGACGACGTCCATGCCTTTGCCCTCACCACCGTCGTACTTGAAGCTCCACATGCCGTCTGTCTGCTCGTTCCAGAAGGCCTGGGTCGCCGAGTGCATGCCACGTCGACCCACGTGCGATTTCCCGTCTGTGGATGTTGCGGATGGTAAGTCGGTGCTTGTGCTGATTACAGGTTCGTCGGCCTTGATGTCGCTTCCGCCCTTGGGCTTGTTGAGCGCCGATGTGGGCACTAGGTGCTGCACAATGGTGCTATTGACGACATACTTAAAGGTGGGCGCTTGCGCGCCCTTAGGTGTAGACTCGGAAATGACAGCACGGAGGATAGAGTTCTGTCAGACCGAGCGAGATGTTAGAGTTGATGTTTGATATTATGGTGAAGACAAGAGTGTCGGCTGTTACTTAGAAACTGGACAAGAACGAAGGCTCCTTTAACGAATGCAGAGAACCAAGGGGGGGGCCAAAGGAGCGGAGGCGTACGATGATGGTGGAGTTCCAACTCTGGACTTTGGAGTGCTCGTAGTACTCAGCGCTACCGACGGCTAGTTGGCAAGCCTATATTGTTGCCGTTTCTGTTAGCCAGCTGATGCGGATACAATGGGGGAACGCAGAAGGCATCGGGGCAGGGGATTGCAGGGCTGCAAACGTACGTCCATTGCGATTTGCCGCAGTCTGGTAGGGTTGATGGGCTACTCGGTACAGTCAGTCAATTTTCCAGTCAAAGTAATCCCAAGTTTTTTTTTACTGCGCTTAATTCTATGAGCGCAGAGTGTGTACATACCGTGTTGGCTGTAGACATAGACATATTGTATGACGACGTGCGAAAGCAGCTCTACTGTCGCGTACAAGGGTGGTGGGAGGGAATTTCGGTCCAGGCTCGCAAGTGGCACGACAAAGCGCTCGTAGTAGAAAGCGAAGCCAGAGAGAGCTGTGACAATAGTGTATGATTATTTGTGTAATTGATACTTTTCTAGGATTCTTGTTCGTAGGCAGGTAGTCTAGGTAGCAGGTGATGTAGGTCACAGTAAGTGATTGAGGAAGGGAACGGTTGGGCGAGTTGGATAGATAGATAGCCTTGTGTAGGTAAGTACGGCACTGCTAGAGAAATGAGGTTCAGCCTTCCCCCCTGCATTCTGATCCCCAAGCGAGGTAGGAGCTGCTGTAAACCCCCGCTGCAAAGCTACCTACCCCCTACCCGAGTACCATATGGGAATTACCTAGTCTAGCGAGAGAGGCGTCGAAGGCGGTCTTCTATACCGTGTATATAGAGCCCGAGGGCACTGTAAAGCAATTGTACCATACACTCCAAGCAAGGAGTTTATTTACGTTCTTATCATCTATCGTGCGCTCAAGCTGAGACGTTGCTTCATACTGTGTAACTAAATATTTTGATGGTTGAACTCATTCTCGCGGGGCAATGAAGCACGTGAGGTCTATCGACGACCTAACGACTCGCCACAGTCGGGACAAAGTCAGAAGCTGCGCTGCGACAGGGCATGGCGTAGGCGAATGCATGGTCCGACAGGTCCAAGCGAAACCAGCCACTCAGGTCCTCCACAGCGCGCACGTGGGGCGACGAACAAGACGGTTGCTTCGCGGCTCGGTGCTCTAGCTCTTTATTTTCGTCATGGAGCTCTCTGCCAAAATTTCACTTCTCACCTGAACCGATTGGCCTGAGCGAGCTGTGCTGCAAGTCTCGAATCTACGACAGCACATTCCAAAGTCAATTCATCTCCTCGGCCGGATCGAGTCCCTCTTACGTGTCGCCTCGCCTTACGTGGAAGAACAAAAAAACTCTATAACATGTCGAGCCAACCACTTCTCCAGATAGCACCTGGTAAACAAATCCCCCACTCGATCGCCCGAGCGCTTTTGCTATGGTCGCAGACAAGTTGCAGTAATCGTTGCATTGACATGGCTGACTGACTGATTCAATCATTCCGGGTATCTAGGCAAACGGATTGCCCTACCTACTCGAGTCGAGCCCAAGGTATTCTTCGCCAACGAGCGCACATTTCTCTCATGGCTCAACTTTACCGTCATCCTCGGCGCCCTTGCCATTGGCATGCTTAACTTTGGCGACCGCCCCGCTTTCATCTCCGCCTTCCTATTTACCGGCGTGGGCATGCTCACCATGATATATGCTCTTTTCACATATCATTGGCGCGCCAGATCGATACGAGTGAAGGGCCAGGCCGGCTTCGACGATCGCTTCGGCCCGACCGTCTTAGCCATCATTCTATTACTGGCCGTCATCGTGAATTTCGTTTTGCGCATAACTTATACCAGCACCGAGGGTGGCAAGAAACACTAGGACTGAATCGAGCCGCCGGAGGAACGGGTGATCCACAGATGAGGCTGCCATTGTTACAGTTATCGTGCGACGTTGGCGCCGACAGTTCGAACGATGAGAATTAAATATTTGTTGAATGGCCCTCAAAAACAGATTGTCAGACGAAAGAGGATGCATATGTTAGCAACAATGAGTAGGACGTTGTGGGTGTTGTGAGCCGAGGAAAACGCATTGTACAAAAAGCCCCAACGACGGGAGTTTTGCAACCATAGGAACTACCAGGCATCGCGGCGTTTGGGTTGTTTAGAAGTTTTGTCAAGAGTATGTTCTGCCAGAAGACTGCCATAGACTGAAGAAGTCGTTTAAGGTTATTCGTGCTATCAATTGCCGTCGTGCCACACTTGAGTTGCTATAAGCCATTGTTGCGCCCATGCTAGGTGTATTGCGAGGTTGTCTAGCTTGTGCTTCCGTTGCGTCAGCAGTTAAACATGTTCCGGTCATGCAAACGTAAAACGGTGGCACGTATCGCATTATCCATCCTATGTGGAAGTCGCATTCGTCTGTTCTCCGTATCGTCTCTTTAATTCTTCGATGGGTGATCTTGACAGAAACAAACTCATGACAGGAATGCCTCTCACCAAGGGCTGGCCCTCAATCGCCCTCTCGAATGGCGTCTTCATGACCTCGAACTCGTCCTCCTCAGCGTCTCCTTCGTCAGCATCTGGACCCCCAAGGACAGTTTCTTCGATGATCGTGTCGCCTTCGTCGCGTTTCCTCTGTCTCTGCTCTTCGCCAAGAGCAATGTATTGGAACCAGCGACCTGCTTTATCTTCTTGGCCCGTCTTTTTATCTCCTTCACCCTTCGACGACAGCTCTTTTTCAATTTCGCGCTTCGCGATTTCGGCAATGGAAATCAGCTTTCCGGCTTCGGCGGCCTTTGCTCGTAGTACTGAGACCCGTGTCTTCGAGGTGGTCGTGGTAGGTGCCGCTTCAGTGGAGGAAGGTGTCGTAGGCGGGGCGAGATGCCGTAGCACGGCCGAGACCCTTTGCTGGATTTTGGAAGACGAGATGACGGACTGTAGTTGAACTTCGTAGCGGGCTTCGATGACACTTAGGACCTTGGTATCATCGGAAGACGCGAGACACAGACTGCTGGTGAGACATTGACGCTTATTATTCGTGGTTGAGCGCTCCGTGCTGCTGTTGCTTGTGTCGGCACGCTTGCGTTTGGGAGCCGCAGACTGGCCGCCTCTTGAAGGGCTCTTCGGTTGCTGTACCTCCATCATGTTGTCATAAAACCAAATACGAGGCGTACCGTCGACCTTGCCATCTCTAGTCTCCGTTGCTCGAATGTATCGTTAATCGGGGCGTTAGAATATCAATTCCATTTGTCGTCATGATTAAGGGATGCCGCATATATTCGCTAGCGAACTAAGCATTTGCTTGTGTAGTAAAATCAACCCCATGGTGCTTATCGATAGCGCATGGTGATGCAGGTACCCAGTGTAGCGCCGATTTCTTCATCAACTTTATGTGCTAAGTCGCTCAAAGTAATGAAGTAAGCAACCGGGAATATATATATATACCTATCTTTGTGCTGTCGCTTGCTTTGACCACAAAATCCCGTCATAATAACATCAGACAGGCAATAATACAATACATAATCTGCATGTGTACGTGTAGGCAAGGTAGATAGCGTGCATCTTGCCATGTAGCCAGTCAGATCAGCGACAGTGCCGTCTTACCCGCCCTCACGGGTCCAGCATTTGCAGATATTGAAGATCCTTCAAGCGCTTTGCTTTGCTTTGTGTGTAGGTAGGTACTTCAATATATCTCCTAAGAGAGTGGAAAGTATCCAATATCTTTTCCTTTCTCATGAATCCTTTACAGGTCTCACAAGCCTATCGCAAAGTAAAGCTAGGTATCCGTACTGATTGTATCGAGAGATTACAGCAGGTGTCCTTGCTTTACCTATGACATCTCCCCTTTACCCCAGGTATAAGTATGTACCCAACTGTACGGACTACCGCACAGATCAATCCCAAAGTTGGCAGGCCGGCGACGAGTTCTGGTTAGCAGATGGCTTGTGCTCACGGGTGTACACGGGAACTTGCTTCCATTTGGGAAAGTCTGGTCTGGTCTGGGTAGCATCTGGGGGCCAAAGCTGCTCTATTGGCAACGCCAAGAAGAAGCCAAGGACCCAATATCCCTGTCTTCGTATGCACGCCGTGCAGAGACCAGCCCACAGCTGAAGCCGCGCCAAGCCTGCCAACGTGTTAGCCGGTCTAGAGACCGTGCACAGTGCCGTCATCTGAATACCTACTTACATTGGTTGAAGTGATAAGAGAGGGTCTGCTGTATCTATTTGTACATACTTACATGTAGGTAGGTAGTAGATAGGAGAACGAGTACTATCACCCTTTGGTGAGGAAGAAAAGATTTGGTTATTGTTGAGTTTAAGTAAGGTGTGGTTGATATCGTAACCTACTTACACGTACCTAGATTTTGCAGATATATCGATATACCCAGGCTTCCCTGCACTTCAACTCGCAGCAACCAGCCCAAGTCCAATTACTATAGTAGATGGGTGCTTGCGGTAAGACATCCAACAACTACCGGTTACAATATGCAACGCCTGGACCCTGCAAGGCATGCGCAAAAAGACTGTTGGTCTCACAGCCACGTCTTGAAAAATATCGCCATTACCTTTAGCTGCCGCGTCCTATGGGCTATAGTCGAAGAGAAGTCTGCGTTGGATCCTTCTAGGTACCTAGTCCTCTTTCTTGTGTGGCGCATGAACATTCAAGTTAGGTAGTACATTGCCTATGCGATCCTTATCGGTACAAACACGAGGTTGTCGCAATTCATATACTTAGTATATATGTGTCTACGGTACTGTAAGCCAGCCTCGAGGCTATCTTCCTGAATCCTCCCCTCCGCCCGGCTATCTAAGGTAGGCAACGTATCTTCGATGGCTGCACTGATGCATGGCATACATCCCTTAGCACTATGAGCTATGTCTACTTAGGTGCCTATTATATGTAGTACCGTATTAATTAGTGTAGACCAGGCTCTGCTCTAGGTACTTACCTACTCTACATACTTAGTAAACATGTTGGTGTTTATGCGATGTGTGATGTACCTTGGCGCATTGGTTTTCCAGCTTTCATGTTGGAACTCGGAGAGTTTTAGCCAGTTTGATCGCGTACGGACGTTAATATATTGACTGATCTCGTCAAGTTGATGGCGGGTGGGTGCAAGATGCCGTCTTATATAATGTCTGAACACTCGAACATAAGTATGGAGTCGTGATGCTTCGAGACCTTCTATGCATGCTGAGAAACATTGTCGCAAGCCGCCCAGGGCCTGGATGGAATCATGGTCCACATATGCGTCAGGCTTGGGAGGATCTTCCCTGGTAGGCCCCTGCTCGAGTGTTTATTGCGCTACGACATCCAACAATGTTCCCAATCTCTGGCAGACTCTGGCCCCCGACACGATGCTCCTTCTCACCCCCAATCAGGTTAGATGCGCAATGCGCATTCTCCACGCCCCGTCGCCCGTGTACTTGTTAGTATGGGGACTAAGTACCTGTATCTGATATGAGCATCAATCAAACACATCATCTTACGCTTTAATAAGGTGATAAAATAGTGCAATAAGTTGGCCACCCACACCACCTTCACGATATTCCCCTGCCATAGGTCAGTCAAACCATCCATGTACACGAGCTGGCGTACCTACATACTTCGTACCTAGCATAGGTAGTAGTAGTAAGTAGGTAGGTAGGTAGTACAAATTGTACAATACTTACTTAGACACTTTGCAAATGCATTAACCACGCTAGTGAGTTTTCAGCAGTCCAGCCCCTTTCCCTACTCCCTCTAGGGTAGGTACCTTGGGTAAGGAAGGTTAGCCTGGCGAGCCTGACTGTCTGTCTGTCTGTCTCTTGTCTCCTGTCTCTTCAATCACCCATCCCATCCCATCATCATCTCCATCCCGTATCTCCGTCGCCATCAATCCACCCCCCCCCTTCCCCCAAATTATCTCTCTCTTTGTACAATACTGAACTGGCATTCTTTGCCGTCGCATCAAAGTCGCGCAATAGAGCAGGCGAAACAAGTGCGATTCATCTGCATTTACCTTTGCCGTTTCCTTTGATCCCTTCGCCATCCTACTCTACTGTCCTGTCATACTACTTACCTACTTACTAGCAGCACCATTATTACCTGCTGCTCAATAATACCACGTACCGTACCTCTTGTATTATTCCGCCTTCGCATTCTCTTGCGACGGCCAATCTGTTTCTCTTCTTCCTTGTCGTTTCCCCTGGTCTCTCCGGTAGCATTCCCTTTGCGCGCAACGCGCTTTACACTGCACTACACTAAACTACACACGACATCGCTCTCTGTCTCTCGGTCGCAAACTGTGGCCTCCTAACACCAGAACATTAAAAAAAGAAGGACCCAAAAAATATACCATTGTTTTTTTTTTAATACACACGGTATTCCGTCGTCCCCGTCTCCGTTGAATACAGTGTGATTGATCGCCTTGTGGACTCTGCCGTCGTGGAACCCGTCATACCTCTCTCTCCCATCTTGTCGCCGGTCGCAACATCTGCTCTCATCCCATCCCCTCGGTCAATCTCGCCATCAATCAATCAATCAACACTTCAACTTCAACCAACCATCAAACAACGGATCCGGGATTCTTGTACTTATATATTTTAATACTTGGGGTTTTATTTTTTCGGCATACATATCTTTTTTAATCCACATTTGCAGCGCTAAGAGGATATCTCGTCGTGCATCTCCTTCTGCGTTTGTCGTTGCTTGCTCTTGCTGCTGTTATTGTCATCGTCGCTACAGCCTTCAGGCCTCTCCGTCTGTCTGTCTCTCTGTCTCTACCTCCACCTTCCGTCGCTGCAAGCAAAGCCTCTGTCTCTGTCTCTGTCTCTCTCTCTCGCAGACTACACCTGCTGCACTCGCTCATTACTCGGGCACAGCTGTCTCTGGTGTCTCTTACTCTCCCTACGTTGCACCTGTGCACCTAGGTATTATACTTTCATTTCACCGGTGCTGCTTTGCTGTCCTTGTCCTTGACCTGGAATTGGGCCTGACTCAGACAGAGTTTCGCTTGGCTTTGACAAATTGGGGGTGGCCACATCACCAAGGGAATCCTCTTTCTCTCCGATTTGCCTCCTATCCTTTCTCTTTCAGTACTGTACAGTACTGTACGTCCGTTGGTCCACCAAGTGTACCAGTGCACCAGTGCGGTGTCCAGTCCATCACCACTGTCGGCTCACACACCCACTCTCTCTACACCGCACCACGACACGGCAGCGCGCGCGCACTCGCCGTCGTTATCGCTCTCGCTATCGCGGACTACTTCGTACAGTAGGCAGCCTTGGCCAGCCATAGAAATATCCTGCGAAATATCTTGCGCAGGTTGCCGCCTCAGCGTTTGGCACAACCCGGGTCCTCCGATCGCATGCGAGCTTGGCTCCTTCGACCTACCTAGCCCATCTGGCGCGAATTAGGTGCACCCCAGCGCTGGAACGACCTGCATGACGAGAATCGGCCAGAAGCCCCCAGCCGGTACCCCAGTCAAGCCGACCCGCACGTTACGTCAGCCTTGGCCTCAGTCGTTCCCTTCGGCGTCACACATCTGACATCTGACACACCTCTCTGCCCGCCCCTGCCCGCCCCCCCTTTCCACGCCAAGCAACCTGCATCCTCCCCCAAGGTTGTAGTGGCTTTTTTAGGCAGCACACCGGCGCGGTGCATTCCTTCCCCTGCGCTCCGACCACCTTTAGGCTCTGGCTCCCCTATCAACTTCTCCCAACTAACATCTGCCACCTTTCCACTCCTTTCCCATTACAACAACAAATCTGAGCGTTGCGCCTCGCGCTTTGTTGTGCTAGGTCCCGTCTGTAGCTGCCCACTTGGTCTTCCCTCCGTATCTTGCTTGGGTATGCTCATGTTCCGATTCTGGAATTCGGATTACAGGGGAAGTGAGAAGACTCTACACGTTGATCGGCCTATGCTTGAGTTCGCCAAGTCAGTGCAACCTTGGATAGCAGCCGATACTTCGGTTTCCATATCATCACCACGGCCTCTCAAGCGGCGGAGGCAGAGTAACGTTGCGATAGCGTCCCAAGCCACGACTGGTTCTGCTGTGAAGCGGCCGAGAAGCGATGAAGGTCTCGCGCCTGAAACCGCAATCCCTCCGGCGAAGAAGGTAGCGCTAGAGCCGACGGCTGAGCATGCGGACTCCGCTGCCACGACGTCAGGTCTAGTCGATGTAGAGAGGGCGAAGGAAGCTATTGAGGAGCAGTTCAGTCTCGAGATATTGCTAAAACACGATGAACTACGTCTGATCAACCAAGAATTGGCCAAATGCCAGATCGCTTTAGAGCAGCTGCGCAGGTGTCATCTAATCCCGTATCCGGTCAATGTTCCCACACCTGAGCAAATGTTGAATATTACCAACGGATCGGGCTCCTCGTTGCAACCCAAACGAGGTGAGAAGCTGCCTCAGTGGGCGCCGCCTTTTGGTGTCAGCGACGGTCCATATGCGCGACACTACGCCAAGTGGCTCATACCAGATCCTAAATTTGACGGTATTCAACCCGAATGGTCAGCGCCTACTGATTCGTGGCGAGTGAGATCGACGATAGAAGGCAGGTTGACGAGAAATAGTCTTGGTGATGGTAGTGCACAGGGCAAGAGCAGACCAGCTAGGGGCGCTGCGGGCCAGAAGCTCCAGGCGCTCTCTAGTGGTTATCCTCCGCCAAAGGACAAGACTGGCCCTTGCACTTTGAAGCGATCCGATGGCCAGATGGTGAAACTGGTGTGCATTGATTGCCACCGTGAGAACTTCTCAAGTACTCAGGGTTTTATTAACCATTGCCGTATAGCGCATAAGAGAGATTTCAAGAGTCATGAAGAAGCAGCCATTCACTGCGGACATCCTATTGACGTTGCTGAGGTCCCCACTAAACCTGCAGCTATAGACGAGAAGCCTCCTGTGCCCACTGCTCCTCCTTCTGGACTTGCCCACCCGTTCACACGTGCAGATGGAATGTCAGATTCTGAAGCATGCTTTTCGGTGGTGCGCCGTATTCAGCAGTCATTGGACCTATATCGCCAGGGCAAACTGCCTGGTGTCTCATCCGTCCCTACTTCGTCCGAGGCACCATCAAAACCTAGTGCCGCAAGCAAACCAAGTGTCGGGTTCTCTCCTTCAACCAAATCGCCGCATCTCTCAAGATTGCTAAAGATTAGAGGCTTCACTGGCAATTTAGGTGCATTCGTCGATGATGCTAAGACCAGGATAGATTTAGATCAATTGTCGTCACCTACTGATGATGAGTCGGAAGACCGTGAGATGTCCACTCCCCGCATCGGTCCCACGAGTCGTTCTACCTCCTCGCAGGCGACATCTGGCATGCGTGTTCCGACGAGAGCTGCTATGGCCCCTGTATCTACCACCTCTCGTTCAACCGGTACTAAGATCACACCGGTGCATCCTACACCTTACATCTCTCCAGACCCCACGCCAACTTCACAGTCGGCAACTCGGGCGAGGCCACAGATTAGCATGGATGAAGACATGCTAGATATAACAGAGTTGAGCCCGCACACTGCTGTTAGTAACAATGCCCCATCACTCGTTAGTGATGATGGTGAATATGATGACTCGGCCGATTCCGATTCTGCGTCAGAAATGGACGATAGTATTAGTGCTCAATCTATCTCGGATGTCGATGATATGGACATTGATGATCAAACCGGCGCTCGAACACTACGGCACCATGGATCCGCTGGCTCTGGGACTGGAACTAGGGTTAGACTGGGCAAAGGTGGTAGTAAGCAGGTCGATTTTGTAGGCCCGATCAAGGAAGATGAACATGCAAAGCAGGGCCACAGTGGTATCGACATCAAGAGGATTCTATGAAGCACTCGACCAAGTCTGATTGGTGGAAAGCTTAGGCGGTGAATGATTTTACGAAGCAGTTTGTACCGGGAGCACCGACTCTCCAGCGTGGCTGACGTCCCCTTGTTGGATTAGGACTTTCATACTGCGGTCATGATCTTTTTATCCGTATACATTGTATTCCCCCAGATCCCGCATACTACATGACGTGAGGCTCTAAAGGGCTGGTCATATTCCTTTCTATGATCGCGGCGATCAATGATTGTGCCATGTTGTTGAGCGCTTATTCTCTCGGTGGTAACATGGTAACGAGAGCAAGGCTGATAGACGTCTTCGCGTTGGCATTCAATGCATTTGTACTTTGCACAGTTAGAAAAGAGACTAGGGTCTTTGTCGAAAGAGAACAGTAACTAGGTGGTTTCGTCGGCTGTTTGATGTATAGCAAGATAGCATTGTTTCGAAATATAATAAAGGCCCATGTCAGCAACATGAGGATTGATTCAATATGTCATCGCTGAATTAATATGAATGTGCATTATACTAACTGTGATTATATATCTCGCTATTTTTATTCATGAGTGGCACTTTGTCTTAGAGATATCTACCAGGCTGACTGACTACGTAGATTGATTGAATGCACTAGTTGCACACACTCACGGTAGGTTTAACAATGTCCTATATCCATATACCAAGGTATGCATATCTGTCTATCTATCTTAATCGAAACACGGCATGGCATATATATAACGATAAATGAAGACGATGAATGAGGAGGTAGAATGGGATGAAGGAGAATCGTAATGGGGTGCATATTACGAGTATTATTTATTATTTTACTTCTAGGTATTCTTACGACAACTGGTATTTGGGCACTCAATCTTAAGATGGAAGGAGTGGAGTGAGTGTAATTCACGATTCAACGAACGACAGAAAGGGTGACCGAGTTCAGATACGGAGATAAAAGATATAACTAACACGGGCTGTTTACTACAACTTACTTTATCATCGTACTCGTCTAGCTTTCCTCGTGGGTGATTCATTTATAGCTTCTGTTGAAGGTATCTCGTGGTTACTCCATCTATCTAATATCCAATCTCTCTCTCTCACTATATCTATCTCTGCATCACCCAAACTGCTTACATATTCCCATCATTCTACACCGCACCACACCACTCCACTCATTACACACATTTACTCATTGCATCTCTTACCTCCTTACCTCCTCATTCCTCATTCCTCATCAATCCAATCATCCACACACACACACACACACATCATTCCAAATCAGAACTCCCAAAACAATATCCAAAGACTTAACCTCAATTTGAATAGATAGACGAGATGATTTTCAAATAAATCTCTGTTCATTAACACGCCAAAACTAATCAGCCTATCATGCCATTTGAAAAAAAAAAAAAAAAAAAAAAAACGTATCATATATGTAAAAAAAAGAGTACCGAATTCCACCACGTACAAGGAGGGATGGAAAATCATGATAGGGCAAGGAGTAGTAGGACCATTTTGAGTTCGACAATAGTCCGTGAAGAGTAATTTTGCTAAGCGATTTACAAGCACTTTCCTCCCCTCTTAAGGGGAGACATATCAGATGCTAGAGATGCAGGAGGGGGGGAAGAAATCAAATACACAAGCAGTGGTAGGCGGAGGAGCAAATTAATTTGCTTATATACAGCAACACAGGTAATAATAGCTTTAGACGCCTTTTGTCTCGCTGTCCCAGGTCGAGGTATCATAAAAGGCTTCTACTCTTGGCCAAAGCCCATTGTCTCTTCAACTGCAATGGTCAACTTTTGCTGTAATTGCTCCAACGACTTGTAAGCTGGTAGGTCGAGACGGTTGAAACTGTTAATGCGTGTTAGCGAAATAGGCCAAGTAAGTGAGTGGACGGATAGGATTCGGCATTTAGAACGTACCAGGTGTGAGCCTTGGGTAGATTTCCGATATCGCCAGCCTTTTCAATGGTAAATCTCCTGGGCCCATCACTGCCTTGAAGGTCCTTGAAACCATTGACAGGGATTCGCGACGTTCCGGTCGCGAATTGCAGCAACCTGCTCTTCTGCTCTCCATCCCAACTCCTTATGGTCTGCCAGAAGAACTGGATGACTTCGTCATTCTCTGTATAGCCACGATAATCCGTGTGCTTCTTCCAATCATCCACATCGATCTCAGCAATACCTCCGATCAAGAGTTCCAATTCACGCTCATCGAAGACGTTGATAAGATCATGAGGAATTAGTTCTTGGAAGCCCTCCTTGAAGGCCTGGAACTGTTCGGCGATGCGCTTCTCAATACGCCATTTGACCATCAAATCGACATATTCCTTCTTGTTCTCATTCGTCACCTCAATATTCCGTCCGTTGGGAATGAGATCCTCAGTAGTCATAACGCCAAAACGTTCGTCCTCGGTGGAGAAGGTCTGTTCTAGGATGCCCCCAGAAATGTCATTATCCAACATCCACTGTAAACTTCGATGGAAATCCGCATCTACACCCTCCATGTCGGCCAATTGAACAGCCTTGCCGAGTATCATCTTGTACAGAGCCCCAATGAAAAAGGCATCCAAGAAGCGGCGGTGGAAGATGGCCAGTCCAACCACCCGCCCTATGAACTTGAAGTAGTTGAGATGTTCTGGGTTGATACCTGAATGTGGATTGATTTGCAGGGTATAGTTATCATGTGCGGAATACTCGAAGAGGCAGTAGAATGGGTTGAACATCTCGTGCGATAACAAGAAAAAGAACTCTCTTGACAAACCACCATAGTCTAAACCATCTTCGCCGTCGAATTTTATCATCAGGCGTTTCTTGAGATCTGTAGCAGATTGCCTCGAGATTTCGGCAAATGAGTCCTCAAAAATATGCGACCTTCGGACCTTAATATGACACTGGCCAGAGTAAATGCGCATGGCAGGTTGGGATCGGAAGTAAATTAGCTTCCTTCTGAAGTCTCGCTTGTACTGGGGAACATTTTGGTCTAGAGAAGATGGTAGTCGTGGGTCATCCCAAGTTGTCGTCTTCGTATTATGATCCACGAAATATACACGGGCCGTGTTTGTTAGGCGCATCTCCCATCCACTAGGAAGAGGTCCGAGCTGGGATACGGGCTGCTGCTGGATAGTACCACTTGCATTGTTCTGGCCGCCGTACATCCTAATGTATTGCTGGCGTCGAGGGTCTACCCACGTAGTTGTGCGAGTATTATGGTCAACAAAGTAAGGCCGCCCTTCTGGTGTCCACCGTTGTTCCCAGCCCGGGGGAAGTTCACCAGTGCCAGGACTCGTAGCACCAGTGTGCATCATGGTACTATTCTGTGCATTTTGCTGAGCGTTTGCTTGCTGCTGTTGTTGCTGTTGCTGGAGCGTGGGGGAGTTGGCACCTGTGCGATCCTCCGGAAGCGTCCGGTTCTGATGCCGTTGGCGCTCTACTTGGGTGGCCGCCTCTCGTTCCCCCCGAGTATCTCCAGATGCACCAGGTCGAGTCCAGCTCGTGGTACGAGAGTTGTGATCAACGTAGTATGTCCTGCCCATGTTATCCTCGCGACGCTCCCACCCAGCAGGTAGGCGCCCTTGAGAATCCTCAAAAGGGCTCATCTGACTGGTAGGTCGACCCTGGGCAGAAGCGGTACCATTTGTTGATGCTGCACCGTTTACGCCGTTTGTTCGAATGGGTAGACTTGTTTGCAAGCTGGGAACTGAGCCATTAGGTCCTGAGGTAGAGGACGTCGGTCGTTCTGAAGTGCGGTCGGTACTCATTGTAGAGCCTTGAGGCGCCAAGGATGGGCGACTCGAGTTGGTGGATTGCGCTTGCTGGGGGCGTACTGGAGCAGTGAGATTCGTGGACAGATTGATAATGAGCTTTCCGTGTACGACGAGGTTATCGGTCGACTTCTTTAGGTCTCGTGTGAGCATCTGATCTGTACAGTACCTCCGTTAGTACTCAGCGACATGGTTGATGTCTGAAGGTCAAGCCGTTACCATCAGCACCCTCCGCTAACTCAATGACATCACCGATGCGAACATTGATAACGCCTAGGAACCCTTGGTCCTTCTTCTTGAATTTCTTTTGATCAAAAACCTGTACGGCTAATATGCCATCCTCGGTTGCGCGGCTATATCTCAAAGTGAGCACAGGAGTGGATGATAAGAGAGGGCAAAATCGGATATCATACAAGTCAAAGCTCTCATTCCAATACGGGTTCAACGTTCGCTTGACAACCTGAGTAGTCTTGGTCTGTTCGCCATTGAGGGTGGCAACAGCGAAAGGATCAGGGAGCCCTGTATTCTATTAGGAACGTGCGATGGCGGGGGCCCGAAGGTTTAGGTACGTACGGAAGACGTCTCGCTTATACAGGCCATCGGCAGCAATTACTAAAGTCTATTGTCAACATGCCATGCTCTCCTCAAACCTAAATAGCCACGGTCGTCTGGTGGAAACTAACTGGTCACTCGCAGGTTGGATGGACTTTAAGCCAGTACAGGCATCGGTCAGCAACGGTAGTTCCGTAGATTCAAATGCAGCGAGCACTCACGCTGATGACCCTGCATCGGAGCGATTTGACGCCATGGCAATGGCCGTCTAGCATGCGATAAGGCGTCGACGCGAGGTCTTCGGGCTCTCTCTCCCCAGGTCTCGTTTCAGTGCAGGTCGATGGACGAAGAACGAGCGAGCGTGCGTAAGGAAGAGGGGTCAACTCTCGAAAGCGAGGGGATGGATCTAGGGACTAAGAACGCCTAGGTATGCCTAGGTATGCCTAGATAGAGTTTGGAGTCTCTGTACTGCAACACGTCCACCGCAACAGATGGTAGCCAGCGCGAGAGGGAAACAACACGAAAAAAAGATGAGATGAGTGGTTTGAGCAATGACACACACTTGTTGGAACTAAGGCCAGGACCAGGAGCATTGCCTACCAGACCAGGCCGTCGAGGTGGAAGCGGGTGCGGTTGGTCGCAGGCAGTTGGCTAGAGGATGTGGTAAGAGATCCATCTGGGGCCACGGGCATCCATTACTTAGCACTAGGTACATATGTATGTAGTACATGTAGATAATAGGTACCTCTTTTGGGTAATCTCCAAGTGTTGATACAGCGAATGTGGGCTGTGCAGCTACCTCTCTGTTACCTGGCATGGTGGACAGAGCTACATGAAGATACTTTCATACCCGCTCTACCTATAATTTGGCAGCGGCGACAAAGATCCAGTGAGTTCTAGCGGGATAACAATGCGGAAGAGAAGAAGCTGTCATACTACCTAGGTACCTACCTATAAGGACCACAGAATTCAAAGACGAAGAGTGAGCAATTACTAACTTCCAACCTAAGTAGCTATCTTTTCTAGAGTATAGACACTAGAAGAATAGAAGAATGAAAATATATTCAGGCGTCTGTCAGTATTTCAGATACCTACTACCGTACCTCTAAGTACTTAGGTACTGTTATCTGCTGTAATTGGTATCTACGAGTAGGTACCTATCTCGGTATTCCAGTCAGTAAGGGACTCAATGGTAAAGTAGAAGTGGTAAGAAGGTTAGTGGACCACTGTAGATGGCCACTGTAGGGAAGGGGTAGTGGGCTTTAGTGCACTATCCTTACCGGTAGGTTAGTGGTGAGTTGATGAGAGACTTAATAGGTAGGGCAGGTCAGGTCTGGCCAGTCCTGATCAAGGATGGCAATGACGAGATTGGTCAAGACCCAAACACCCGGGTGGAGACCTCCGTCCTATCCATGCAGTTCAGTTGAGAAGCAGATAATGTGCCTCTGAGGCTGTGCGAAACCCTCGCCGACCTAGCCGTCTCCATCCAGTCATAGCCCGCCGTGAACGGGAGCGTTTAGGTGGTTGATTGTATCGCAACCAGACTACCGGCGATAAGTTCAGCAGTATTCCCGACGTACACCACCGTCTTGACATCAGTTACCTGGATTTTTCTTTATTCCCTCGTTGAACGGCGTACAGAATGCCTGTTTACTTGGTAATGCATAATACCTGCTTGATTGAGAATATATGACCCTCTTCGTACAGGTACTGCAGAGTACGTATCCAAGACTCAGATCTGCTATGACGCGCACGTATATTGGAGACAAGCGTGGCTGTGAGAACTGATGACAGAAACATCCCACGATCACCTCCTTGTCCGAGTTACAAGACCCTTGTAAACATCTGCAGGCCTCCAATGTCCTGCTGAAGAATAAACAAATAGCGAGATGCTCTGCCCACATACTTGGGTATTCGACAACGGTGCTACTACTTTACCCCTTTTCATATTGTTTATCACACCAGGCACCAGCCTCATGTCCCTTGCATAGACCGAACGCGCTTGTTGGGAGAGGAGACGAGACTGATTCTACGTGTTCTTTATGGTGAATCTAATGTACTTCTCCAAAGGGCGTGTGCTGCGCCCTTGGCTCATGCCCATTACGCTTCGATGTAGCTGATGTCGGAGCCGAGGCGCCGCTAACATGCATCATCAAGTCACTAACCCGTACTGTAAGGACTCGAGGATCGGTTTCGGAATCGGTCTCTCTTTCTTCCCAATGTCCGAGATAATTGCGTCTGATACTAAACGCTATGTATTCGCTGTACATAAATTAGTATCTAGATGAGCCTTTTGTCCTTACCACTTTCGCTATTTATCTTATAGTTCAAATATCGGGGATAACCTGAAATGATACTTTGATGATCTAAAGCGAACTTATACGACGAGCATAGCAGTCCCGTGACTAAAAGTTGGAAGTGATAGACGCTCTCCACATATCCTGTATGGTTTGAAGTTCATTGTTGCTAATACCGACGCTGGCTGGTGTAGTTTAATCAGTTTAGTTGGGGCGGGCCTTGTCTGCCAATACCAAGATAAAATCAAAACAATCACGGGAAACATCCAGTGCTATCACATTGCTTGGCGTCATTCTCAATACAAGGGATGGTATTGAGGGTTAATGTGAGGACCAGATTCTTCTTAGTAGAATATCTCCTACTTTCGCACCTAGCAGATGCCAACGATATTTGTGGTTAGCTACAAGGCTTGGCCCAAACCATGGCTTTCCCACTCAACATATTCCGGCATGATTCGTCGATTCCCACTCCAATGAGTGAGCTTGTTCTTCACTCGGAAGTAGTTTGGATATCCCCGAAGTGCGCATAGACCAACGTAGACTATTGTTCTCATTACGTCGAGACGCGGGACCAGACAATGCAATCAAGTTGGGAAGGCGTGAGATAAACGTGTGCCGCATGGTAAAATTGCTACCTAGCTGATGAGACGACATCGAAATCATGACCAACCAACGCCATTTCCCAAGTTGCCATTTTTATCATCGCTTAGATATCAGTGATTTCCCTCAATCGTCGCAGGGTCGAACGGGCAGCAGTCGCAGCGGGGGATCTAGTTTCCAATGTTAGATTCATCGCCCTCCCAAGTTTTCACAGCCGAACGTCGATACGTACGTCATGGTGTAGGCACCACCAGCAATGGTCTTCTTGCAGCCCTTGCAGGTCCAGATACCGACGGCAGCACGGCGAACTGAGGTCTTGGCGCAGAAGGGGCTTCGGAGTGTTAGCATCTAACTTCAAGACCGCCGTGGATCATGGTTTCGGGGAATCGTACCACTGGTAGCGGGCGTGCTGGGTGATCTCGAAGCGCTTGGCCTGCTTACGGAGGGAGGCACCGTAACTGCAGATTCTGTTAGAAATGCCACCACGACATAGAGATCATGAGTGGTTCTTTACCGGGTACCGTATTTTCCGGTAATGCCTACTTTGGTTGTACGCTTGGCCATTGTGACGGTCGGTTGTGTTGGCGCGTCGGTGTGAGGATGGTTGGGTGGTGATGTTGGCGATGTTGGCGGGCAGGGAAATTTTGAGATTATCGGAGGTTTGTAAAGTGACCTTGGGAAACTGTGTGTGCAGGGCCCTATGCAGTCTCATTGGCTGGAGAGGGGTAGGCGAGTAGGCTTGACTCCATTTTTTGCGGAGGATTGTCGGATAAACAGCCACTCGAGGCTTGTGCGATTGGCCTTTATCGATAAGCCATTAATATGGACACATGTATTGGTAGACACAGATGTTCCTATTCAAATCTACGACATTTGACTTGGTGGCCACTATGTATGAACCATTTAAATTCAATGGACGACTGCACTGAGATATAGTATATCAAGTTGCAGTAGCTTCAACGCCAGCTGTTCACTATTCATTGCACTTATAACACAACGGCCGTTGTATTAATGCCTGTGCTCATATATTCGCCGCTATACCTACTACCAGTATATCGACATGTGAGGGAAAACCAACGCTTAAGACTCCGGGCTCCAGAGATTCAATACGAGCATGTTTCGCATCAAACGGACACTGCGTAGGGTAAAACAAGTCTGTTTCTGCTTGTAGTGACTACGTCACCAGAAGCGGAAGAGAAAAGAGCGAGGCTAGAACTGACATAGCTGTCCGCGGGACGGCTCAGCTCAGGTGCAGATAGCTATACGACACACTCGGCAAGGAGACTCAGGTCCACGAAACAAGGTGTCAGATGCATTGTGAACTTGTGGTGTGTCAGTCGGCCGTGGAGACGCTTTAATAGGCAACGGCTAGATATGCCATGATGAAATGCGTGTAATGATGGAGCTACACTGCCGATACGAAAACAATACTTATGACTGGTATCACGGCCGGGTACAACAAACCCTACTTACCCCACGGCCGCAACGTCAAATCTTTATCGTGATGGATGAAACAATCAATGCAACGGTCCGCCTTCTGTGAAGCTCGACGAGCACAGCCACCTTATTGGCTTATTTCCCATGAGCTTAGACCAATGGCCAATCAATGTTACAGCGAGCTAAGAGCAAGGTGTGTGCATGTCAGTTAGCTCCGCCACTCTGCACATCAGCGATGGCTGCCTCTCAATCCTCTCGAGTCGAAAGTGCCCTTACAGCCATAATACATAGGTAGTAAGTATTGCTGGTATGTGTACCTGCCGTAAGCAGCCGATGAGGGGTATGTACAATAGGTATGTGCAGAGTATGTGCACAAAGCACTTAATTGGCGGCACCCTTGTCATAACACACAGCTCCAGACTCGTTAGACAAGAACATGCATGCAACTGAGGAGCTAGGTATCTAGGTACACCAGTTATGGCCTTGGTCTAAACTGACCTATAACAGAACTTTAGTTAGACGAGAGAGCAAGTCATCAGCCGCATGTATGTTCGCATTTACAATACTAAACAAGGTGAAAACTCTGGTTCTATCTTCGACAAGTAGTCTTGAGGTTGTATTGTACATACATAGTAATTGTGCCGGATTGGCTTTTTCTAACAAGATCCTGCCCTGCTAGTTGCTTACATACAGTAGGATGCTAATCCCTTCCCAGTCACCTTAGGTGCTCATACGGGCTCAGCTAACCTAGTATACCTCCACTAGACGAGAGTCTTGCCCGTAAATCGCTTCCAATGGGGCGGCAGATTCGTAGGCTGACCGGTACCTGCTCGTCCTACAGTAGTGGTCTGCTGTGCCTCATGCCTAGCCCGGGATACCGGCTCGAATGCTTTCCCAATTGCTTAGACAATAGAGATAGTAGGTAGTGTTGTCACTCGAACGCGTGACGATGAACAACTAGGGTAACTCTGTTCTGATATTGCCGAGTTAATACACTTGCAAGATTGGAATACCCTTCGTGGCGCTGGACAGGACTTGCCTTTTGACACTCTTGTCTGCGACTCAACTTCGGCAACTACTTACTGTGTATGTAAGAGCTGGCGACCAATTCAGACGCAATGGACCCCCTCTCGATTACGACCTCGGTCATCACCTTACTTGGAGCCGCAAGCAATGTGTATAATGCCTTGCAGTCTATCCGCAATGCCGACCGAGCATTGCAATCATTAGTCAAGGAAGTCGGTACTCTCAACGGGTACTTGAGGTCCATTGACAAAGCGTTGGAAGATTGTCGGGGCAATGCCTACGCTTTAAGTCATATCGACCCAGCTCTCTGGAAAGAGAGCAAAATTGCACTTTCAGACTGTCAAGAGACAATAAACGAGCTAGGTCTGGTCTTCAAAGAGCCTAAAAGGCCTTCCCGCTCCAACACGCTCTTCCGCAAAGCAAGAGTTGCGGCTGAAATGCGATCTCGCGCAGGCGATATCGCCTCATTTCGAGAAAAGATCTCTATGTCAAATCTGTGTCTCCAGACACTCTTACAAGTCATCAATGTGTAAGTCATTATGATACTTCCCGGGCTTGTTTTGCATTTCATGTAGTGTTAACAACTTGAAGCTCTCTTTCCCTCCGGAGCAATACATCTCAGGACAATATCCTGAAAGATTTAAAAGAGCTGAAAGAGGCTCTAAAGAAATCTTCTCAGGCTGCCACAGTTTCCTATTCCACGTTGTTCCTCAACGAACAAGATATTCGTCTAGTTCATCACTTGAAAGGCTTGATCCGAGCAGCGCACGATTTCCATACCAGCGCCAGCGTGACCGCGAGTACCGTGGCTAATAGTACGCAACCACCGCCTACTGATTTCGGAGACGATGATGCAAGATCAGGGATTTCACCTCATCTACCGTCTATGAAGAGAATGCAAATCGAGACGTACCTGTCCCAAAACCAACAGATCGCACGCTCTATAAGTTCAGTTAGCTCTGTCAGCTCTGTTTCCAGTGTGGAGGACGAAATGTTACCTTCAAGTCCGGTGAAAGGTCCTGAAGTAGCGGCCGAGACTCGCGAAGTCGGTCCCAATCACATGTTTAGTAGTATTTTTACCAGTGGATTAACGAAGATTGCTCAGAAAGCTCTGCAGCAACTTGATCTGGAGAAGGCAGAGGGTCTCCTCAAAGAAGCTTTGAAGTGGCACAGCTCCTCCGGATCAGATGATATACATCACCAACAACGCCTGCAAACTCAGCTTGCCTTATGCACTCTTCTTCAGGGCAATATCCAAGAAGCGCAGAACTTGATCCGAGACCTAAGTGATGCCAGTCCTGAGCAAGACGACGTCGCACATCAGCTTCTCTATGCTTTGGCATTGCTACAATTGCACGAGTTAGACTTTGAAGGAGCGAGGGAGAATAGTACACGGCTCTGGGAAGCTCTTCAAAAGACACCACATTGTGCATCTCTAGAAGCAAATGACGCAATGAAAGTTCTCGCTACATCCTATCAAGAAACAGGACAAAGTCTCCTAGCCGACGCGATTGAGGCGGAAATGCCAGATATAAGACTCTTCGAGCCTGTTCCTAAGATGGTAGACTTCCTGGCTGATTGCAACGAGCTTCTCGTGGCGATTTTCGGCATCCAGGACAGCCCGGAACTTTCTAAGTCTCTCTCCGTTGTCCGCAAGATTCACGAGCTCCCGATCGCCAAGAATCTCAGTTCCCTGCAGATGCGTGAACAGGCATTGGAAGAGGGGTCTGTCTCAGCTTCCAGGTGCTCTTCGGTTGACGCAGATGACGAACTATCTGTGACGGCGGATGTGGATCCCGAAAATGACCAGCCAAAAGCAAAGAAAAGGTCCTGGTCAAACCTGCGAGCCTTATTCAGACCTCGTTTGGCAGACTTGTATCCCTTAAACACCGGGGCTCAGGAGTCCACATTCAAGCTCAAACGAATGGTGAAGGTTTCGGGCTCTGGGCTGACATCACCTCGGGAGTCGAGCTTCGACCATGATGCCTCGACTGCAAGCTTGCATATACTGATGGTGCCGAAAGAAAACTCTTTGAAAAAGAAGAGTGCAACTGTGCCAACGAAGCATGATCTAGAGAGCGACTCTCGCACGAAAGAATGGGTTGCTGGACAAGCCAGCAACAATCCAACAGACACATCGACAGGAAGCCAGAATAGCCAGGAACAAGAACAACTGCAACGCCAATTTAGTTTCCACGAGGGTGTACCTGATTTCCTGCCTGAGAACACATCAGCTGCAACTCCAATTCCTTGCTACGAGATGCCTAATGATGCAGTCATCTTCGAATTGATGGACACATCGTCTAATGCCAAACTGTCAATCGAAGCACACGAAAATGACACCCAGGGAAATCACAAGAAAAAACCGAAACAACGATATAGGATGCCTAAGATTGACATATTCGATAATAGTACTAGCCTATCATCGCTATACCTACCTGGTGATTCTGTACAAATTCCGGGTGTCGATATTCAGAAAGATATGCCGGAACATATTGATGAAAGTCGAATCGGCTTAGCCGTAACGACCGCCACATCGCTAGAAATGGAAAACGACATCTATGACCTCCTCGGCTATGGCAAAGCGGTTTCTACGATAGCTGAGCAGACTTCCCCGGCCAGCAGTGATCCGCCAGAGCATTTCGACAGCTCCTCGGGATCAGACACAGAGACCTCATCTGTCTTCGACATAGTAAAACCATCAGGTCGCCACGCCACTTTCGATTCATTCATCCTATCCGACGGGCCAGATCTGGACAGCGATATTGGCGAAAACTTTCCAATTCGATGCCTCAAGCCAAGAACAAGTGTAACAGAGACGGAGACGTCTGCCAAAGACACGACTAATCAGACCAACGAACCAGAACAACAACCCCTAGACCCTCTACTGCTAGATGCACCGAGCGACGAAGCGACCACCGACACGACCGATTTAGAAAGCCTGGAGTCCCAAACGCGGAGTCGCCGGGAATTCGGCCCAGCAGTAGCAAGGCTCTGTCGGTACAAATCCCCTCGCAAAACCGTGTTCAGGAAACGACTACCGGGGAGCGCAGCGGCGGGACTACGCAAGCTCTTCCGCATCAACACGGCGCTTTACACTGGTCCCGATGCCATCGAGGGCCCGTTCACGGAGATAGGAGGGATAGGTTCCGAGGAGGTCTGCGACTTTGCGCCTCATGACGTACCATCTTCATCCCTCGAGAATCTGCCGTCGCCTGCCAAGCTATGTTCGCAAATTTCCGAGGGACCATCATCGGGCGACAAATGCGGTGCTTTAGCGGATGTCGTTGCGCCACTTGCGTATAGTGATGCCAGAGAGCAACCGGGAAGTCGGCATAATAGTCTGACAAGGACTCATATAGATGAATTCTTGGGAGTGTCACGGGAGCATTGCCCCTTTCGAACTGGCTAGGCGTATAGAGGTATAGTGATTGTATTCATTGGCTTGAGTTATGCCACGGCTTGACTACCTACCTCGTTTCACCATGGCGGCGGCGACGAAAAGCATCACGGAACGCTTCTAGAGTCGAGTCAGGAGACGATGCTGTATCATTCCGGTTATATGTTGTGTGACTGCGTGCTACTAGGGATAACCTACCAGAAATACTCCTACCTCGCCGGGTTGTCCACATAGTTTGTGATGAGAGATTTTCTTTACCCGGCCAGACTCAAGAGGTGAGTGTCTGGTTAATTCATCATTACCACACATTGCACCCTTCCCATCTGTCTCCTTGCCTCTCTGGCCTCTCAACCCCAATTGTTCAAACTAGAGTTATCGTGGGGGGTGTTTTCAGCCCCCCATAAACGCCCACTTTCTACCTAACCTAGGTATCTAGTCTGATGCGCTACCTACTTGCTGACCTGACGCCAACTAGATCTGTTCAATTGTCGCAGCTCGAAAATACGAGGCCATCGTAAACCCCCACCACTCGGGTCAATTGAGAAGTCTTGTACTGCCTGAGACCCCCGCGTATGTGCTCCCGTTACGCACTACCCCGCGTCAGACCCCCAAACAACCCCCCCTCCTCGACAGCAAACAAGGTCAACCCCTCCAGATCACGCCTACGGTGGGCCACTACCACAAAGTGCGAAAATAAAAAAATCAGGTCAAGTGCGGGGTAAAACCTATTTTCCAACTTTACCTAAGGGGACCAAATATAATAAAGGGTATAAAGTAAAGTTTTAAAAATATAAATAATTACTTAAATAGCTATTTTAAAGGTTATATAAATAATTTATAGTTTGTATTAGGCTTTATAACTATTTAAGTTATGGCTTTTAGCTATATAGGTCTATATTGTAGTTAGTACTGTAGGTTAGTACTATAGGTCTATATTGCAGTCTGTATTGCAGTCAGTATTATAGGTTAGTACTGAAGGTCTATACTGAAGGTCTGTATTGCAGTCAGTACTGTAGGTCTGTATTAAAGGTCTGTATTGCAGTCAGTACTGTAGGTTTGTATTGTAAGTCTATATTGCAGTTAGTACTGTAGGTTTGTATTGTAAGTCTGTATTGCAGTCAGTATTGAAGGTTAGTATTATAGGTCTATATTGCAGTCTGTATTGCAGTTAGTACTGTAGGTCAGTATTGAAGGTTTGTACTGAAGGTCTGTATTGCAGTCAGTACTGTAGGTCTGTATTGAAGGTCTGTATTGCAGTCAGTATTGTAGGTTTGTATTGTAAGTCTATATTGCAGTCTGTATTGCAGTTAGTACTGTAGGTTAGTATTGAAGGTCTGTATTGAAGGTCTGTATTGAAGGTTTGTATTGTAGGTTAGTATTGAAGGTCTGTATTGAAGGTTTGTATTGCAGTTAGTATTGTAGGTTTGTATTGAAGGTCTGTATTGCAGTTAGTATTGTAGGTCTGTACTGAAGGTTTGTATTGCAGTTAGTACTGTAGGTCTGTATTGAAGGTCTGTATTGCAGTCAGTATTGTAGGTCTGTATTGTAAGTCTGTATTGCAGTCAGTACTGTAGGTCAGTATTGAAGGTCTGTATTGAAGGTCTGTATTGCAGTCAGTATTGTAGGTCTGTATTGAAGGTTTGTATTGCAGTCAGTACTGTAGGTCTGTATTGTAAGTCTATATTGCAGTCAGTACTGTAGGTCTATATTGTAAGTCTATATTGCAATCTGTATTGCAGTCAGTACTGTAGGTCAGTACTGAAGGTCTGTACTGAAGGTCTATATTGTAGGTTAGTATTGAAGGTCTGTATTGAAGGTTTGTATTGCAGTCAGTACTGTAGGTTTGTATTGAAGGTCTGTATTGCAGTTAGTACTGTAGGTCTGTACTGAAGGTCTGTATTGCAGTCAGTACTATAGGTCTGTATTAAAGGTCTATATTGCAGTCAGTACTGTAGGTCTGTATTGTAAGTCTGTATTACAGTCAGTACTATAGGTCTGTATTATAAGTCTATATTGCAGTCAGTACTATAGGTCTATATTATAAGTCTATATTGTAAGTCTATATTATAAGTCTATATTATAAGTCTATATTATAAGTTTATATTATAAGTCTATATTATAAGTCTATATTATAAGTCTATATTATAAGTTTATATTATAATTAGTATTAAAGATTAATATTAAAGGTTTATATTAAAGGTTTATATTAAAGGTCTATATTATAATCTATATAATAGTCCTATTTAACAGTTAAGTTATAACTTAATTAATAGCTTATTATATATATATTTATATATAGTTAACCTTTTTATATATAATTTATATAGCTTAATTATAATATAAACTATAATATAAACCTTTAATATTAACCTTTAATATTAACTTATAATATAAACCTATAATATAAACCTATAATATTAATTATAATATAGATCTTTAATATAAACCTTTAATACTAACCTATAATATAAACCTTTAATATAGACCTTTAATATTGACCTATAATATAGACCTTTAATATAAACCTTTAATATAAACCTTTAATATAGACCTTTAATATAGACCTTTAATATAGACCTTTAATATTAACCTATAATATAAACCTTTAATATAAACCTTTAATATTAACTTATAATATTAACTATAATATAAACTGTAATATAAACCTATAGTATTAACCTTTAATACTAACTATAATATAAACTTATAATATAAACCTATAGTATTAATTATAATATAAACTTATAATATAAACCTATAATATTAACTATAATATAGACCTTTAATATAAACCTTTAATATAGACCTTCAATATAGACCTTTAATATAGACCTATAATACAAACCTTTAATACAGACCTTCAATACAGTACTAACTACAATACAGACCTTTAATACAGACCTTTAATATAAACCTTTAATATAAACCTTCAGTACTAACCTATAGTACTGACTGTAATACAGATTGCAATATAGACCTATAATATTAACCTTTAATATTAACTGCAATATAAACTTACAATATAAACCTATAGTACTAACTGCAATACAGACTTACAATACAGACCTATAGTACTGACTGTAATACAGACCTTTAATATAGACCTTCAATATAAACCTTTAATATAGACCTTCAATATAGACCTACAATACAAACCTTCAATATAAACCTTCAATACAGTACTAACTGTAATACAGACCTTCAATATAGACCTTTAATATAGACCTTTAATACAGACCTTTAGTACTGACCTATAGTACTGATTGCAATACAGACTGCAATATAGACCTATAGTACTGACCTTTAGTACTGACTGCAATATAGACTTACAATACAGACCTACAGTACTGACTGCAATACAGACTTACAATACAGACCTACAGTACTGACTGCAATACAGACCTTCAATACAGTACTGACTGCAATATAGACCTTCAATACAGACCTTCAATATAGACCTTCAATACAGACCTTCAATACAGACCTTCAATACAGACCTTCAATATAGACCTTTAATACAGACCTTCAATACTAACCTACAATACAGACCTTCAGTACAGACCTTCAGTACTGACCTACAGTACTAACTGCAATACAGACTGCAATATAGACTTACAATACAGACCTACAGTACTGACTGCAATATAGACTTACAATATAGACCTACAGTACTGACTGCAATACAGACCTTCAGTACAGACCTACAGTACTGACTGCAATACAGACCTTCAATACAGACCTACAGTACTGACTGCAATACAGACCTTCAATACAGACCTACAGTACTAACTGCAATACAGACCTTCAGTACTGACCTACAGTGCTAACTACAATACAGACCTATATAGCTAAAAGCCATAACTTAAATAATTATAAAGCTTAATATAAACTATACATTATTTATATTTTTAAAACTTTACTTTATATCCTTTATTATAGTTATTTGGACTCCTTAGGTAAAGTTGAAAAATAGGTTTTACCCCGCACTTAACCTGATTTTTTATTTTCGCACTTTGTGGTAGTGGCCCACCCTACACGCCCCTCATTTAGACTACCTACAGTACTTTCTTGAGAGCTCGAGAGCGTTTTGGAACAACGTTATTGGAATCCCACCCGTCAGTCACGCTTAATTGTACCCGCCCTAGAACCACCGCTAGCTTGGCGTGGAGGAGATCGCTCCGCCGCATCTCGTCAAGACAAAACAAAAGTCCATCCATCCCACCTCAAGTCTTTCCCACCACCACCGTTCACCTCCTAGTCCTACAACATCACCGGCAAAATGAAGCTTCTCTACCCAACCTCGCTCAAGCTCGACGTAGCTAGTCTCGAGGGCTTCAGCGTCTCGCTGCACCCCTATGACGTCAAGGCCTTGATCCCCGAGGATCTGATCGACGCCGAGGTGCTCGTGACATGGACCAACAGCGCCGAGAACCTGAAGGACGCCGCCCAACGCATGAAGAATCTGCGCTGGATCCAGTCTCTCGCCGCGGGGCCCAACGATGTGCTATCCGCCGGCTTCCCGTCCAACGTGACAGTGACGACAGGGTCGGGCTGCCACGACCGCACCGTCGCCGAGCACACCCTCGGCCTACTTCTAGTCGCCGCCCGCCGCTTCGACGAGATGCGCGACTATCAAGCACAAGGGAAATGGGCCGGCCACCTCGGCGGTCCCCAGCCTGACCGTCCTAAGGACCGCTTCACGACCCTGCGCGACGCCAACGTGCTCATCTGGGGCTACGGCAACATCGCCAAGACGCTCGCGCCGCACCTCGCGGCCTGGGGCGCCACAGTCCGCGGCGTAGCACGATCAGCCGGTGTCCGCGACGGCGTCCAAGTCTTCGCCGAGGACTCTCTGCCCGAGCTCCTCCCGCAGACCGACGCCCTCGTCATGATCCTCCCCGGCTCCGAGAGCACCAAGAACGCGCTGAACGCCGAGCGCATGAAGCTCCTGCCCAAGCACGCCTGGGTCGTCAACGTGGGACGTGGCACCTCGATCGACGAGGACGCGCTGGCCGACGCGCTGCAAACGGGCGAGATCGGCGGCGCCGCGCTCGACGTCTTCGTCAAGGAACCCCTCCCCGCCGAGTCGAGGCTGTACAAGGCGCCCAACTGCATCGTCAGCCCCCATGCCGCCGGTGGTAGACCGCAGGACGCGGAGGCGCTGATCGCGTATAATTTGAGACGGCTCTTGGCTGGCCAGGAGCTGAAGAATGTGATTTAGGGAGAACCGGAAGCGCGTCATGCATTGTATGATTATAGACGAGATTGGAACTTTCTACGTTTCATGAATGGAGTTTTGGCGATTCACGATTTATGTTTGACATGTTGCATCCCATACTTTCCTGATTCTCAGTTAACTAGTTCTTGATTGATTCGGTATCTGTATAAACGAAGTAACTACCTAGACGTTGATCCATCTTCTTTCTGCCCGCTGGTTATTCCACGGCCACTTATATCGGTAAGTATCGACTAGTCTTTATTCATCCCATATGTAAGCATTTCGTATAAAGGCAACGCAATGAAAAATGTCTGCCGTGCGAGACTGATTTTGCATCAGGAGCTTCGCGCATTTGTGGCTCCCGGGGCAAGTTGTCGCCCATCCATTGTCGTTTTACACGACGTTATCTTCCTCGTCAGCATCCTCATCGTTCTCCTCCTCCTCCTCTTCTTCTCTCCTTTTCTCACCCTCGTCGTTCTCGTCTTCCTGTCCCAAATCACCAGCAACATCAGCGAAATTCTTGATCGCCGTCTCCACCGCTACCGACTTCCCCTTTTTCGCGGCGCCCTTGGTACTCTCAGGATCACCGTACTGATGATGTACCTTGAGATCTGCCTCAATCTGCTCAGGGGATTGATTGAGATCCGTCTCTCGCAGCGTATCCTTGCTGTCTCTGTCACCTGTGCTCGCAGCACGGGCAACATGGAAGTCCTGATCCGTATGCTTCAGACCGGCGATAAGCCGCTGCAGCTCTGCGCGACGATGTGTTGGGGTCTGTGAGAGGTCGATCATGGGGAATGGTAGCATGGCGATGTCCCTTGCGCCGAGACGTACGCGCAGCATGAGCTCGAGGGCGCGCTCTAATGTCGGTGCGAATTCGAGATCATCCTCGTCCCACGGTTTCGTGGAGAGTTCCCCGCCGCTGTTGCCGAACGACAGGAGGCGGCGCAGGCTGTTCTTGGAATGGTTGAAGACGCTCTTCACATCCCTTGGCAGTTCGATGAATTCCCCATAGTACTCATCACGGGTGCGTAATTTTAGGAAATCCTCAGTCTCAGCCTCTTCGTCCCTAGTGTAACCGCAGCTCTGATTAAACCAACCGCCTGTGCCGTCTCCGATTCTCGGCTCGTCTGTCGTCTGCCTCTTTCGCTTCTTGAAAATAGAGCTGTGGGAATTGCTTGTTCGGGATTTGTTGGACGCTTCATCTTCGTCTTCTTTCTTGATCCTCTTAGCTTCTTCTTTCTTGATATGCTTGCCTTCCGCATTAACCTCGAGCTTGGTAGTACTCTTAACTTTCTTGGAAGCTGGAGACTCTGCTTCCTTGTCTGAGTCTTCTTCATCAAGTAGATTTCTCTGACGACGGAGCTCTTGACCCTCCGGAGAATTCCATGCATCGCGAACCTCATATTGAAATAGATTAAGAAGTAAGACCAGAACTTTCTTCGTGTCTCCTTGTGCTCTTGAGCCAAGCTCGGGAAGTAACTTCTCAATTTGGCGGCTCTCTCGGAATGCATGGTATGAGTTCTTGAGTTTCACTCTGTGGACGGTAACATCAGAAGTCTGGCCAACCTATACCTGGTGATTAGCATACTCTATGTGATATTAGTAGGAAACGCAGTACTAGGGAAGACTCACTCGAATCACTCGGTGCATGGCCTGCCACTGGACCTGTATGCTGTGTGCCTGAGAAGCCACCAGGACACGCGAGCAGCTCTTGTGCAAGTTGGTTCCAGCAAATCCAACAGTATATAGTTGGATCAATATCTGGCATGAATCGTTATCGCTGCTATTGAAACTGTCAACCAGTTGCTGACGTTCACCCAAAGTCAATTGAGCATGCATGCAACGGCACTCAAAACCTAAGAATTGCAGGACAAGCTCGTAGTAGAAAGCAAGCACTAAACTATGCTCAATGATTAGCAGTTTCTTGATCTTGCCTGAATCTTCCCTAGTAAGTATGTTTTTATGAATATAGTGAAGGATGTAGCGGAGGATAGGGGAGTTCCGCGTGGCAATCTTCATCCAGCCAACGTGGGTGTCTGGTTTCACATCCGTCGGCAAAAGCAAAAACTGAACTAGGCGACGAAGATCCACCTCGTTCTCGCGCATTTTGGCGATTTCAGGCGCAAGCGTCGAATGGCCATTTGCCAATAATATTGTGTTGAGATCATGCACATCTAGAGAAGAAGAGGCGATCTGAAGAAGTCGGTTAGCGTTCATGATAGATGTCTTCGCTTCCTCTTCTTCTTTCTTCGGCTTTTTACCCCCATCGTCTGAGATCCCTCCCCAAGCCGTTAAGCATTCGAGATATTCAATGAGAAGATCAGTGTGTACCGTCTGGTACTCTCCATCATACGCTTGTCCAGCACTAATGTCGACAGTATAATTTTCGACCTTGGGGAATAACCCCTCTAGAGATACCAGGCTAGACTGCTCCCAATCGGCGTATATATATGAGCTCGGGGACCTCTTTAACATGGCGAGTGTTTCAAAGTGTCTAAGGTACTGGCGCGTTAGTTCGATGTCATGGGTTCTCGCATTGCCTTTCTTGAAGAGAAGCTTAGTAAGTAAGCCTGGCCGTCCTGCCACTAGCTGAAAGTCATGCGATGCAGGATAGCTGTCGAGTTCGTCAAGGTGCTCCAGATCTTGGAACTCTTTCCTCATTTCATCCCGCGTTGTAGGGTTTTGATCCAAGTATTTTTCAACTCCGGTCCATAGCAGTGTGGCAAGCCCAAACATGTCAGTAAGTGAATTCATGCAAGGCGTGGCGGTAATAAGAAGAGTGAATTGACGCTTAAGAAGATAAACGGACCGCCAGTTTTTAGTCCTGTGATTCTTCACTTTATATGCTTCATCAACGATGACAAGTGAGAATGATCGTTTCTTCCGTGTGAAGGTTGAGCTCCACCCCCCTTGGTCTTGGTCGGCTTTAAAGGAACAAGTTCTCCCTGCCCAGCTTTCCATGGTCGTGATGATGATGACTTTTGACGCACGACTGTCGTTCTTATCCCAGACATAACACAGTGGAGCCGGCCACTGATTAAAACTTTCGCGGTCTAGATGCACAGTGTTTGTTATCTCTTCGAGACCGGGACCGGAAAGTATAATCTGGTGAAGAGTGGACTCGTCAAGGACATTCTTAAACTCCTGTACCCATTGGCATGCCACTGTAGCATTTGGAGCTATAAGTAGAATAGGAAGATGCTCGATCTTGCCATTCTTCCTACGCATGGTATTCAGCCCTTGACTGATCAAAATATTCACTAAGGCAACTACGATGAGTGTCTTCCCAAGACCCATCGAGTCGGCTAGAATTCCACCGAAGTACTTAGGACCCTTAAGACGGTCGCGATTATCTGCATCGGCCAAAGATTGGATATTCGAGCAGAGTGTTCCCTCCAGGGGGTCCTTGCACTTTAACGTTGGGAGATCCCCAAACAACCTGGAGAGCAACCACACGATTCCAGTAACTTGATGATCCAGCAGACCACGACGCCCGCCCTCATTGTCCAACTTTGGGATGAATGGCGAGATCCACACTGTTGAGTTTCTACGACCATATTTGCCGCATTGTTTTGCCAATAGATATCGAGCACAGGGATTGATAGGAGGACCGAGACTGTTGGGGCTGGCGGAAATAAAGGATTGAGCAGCGGCGCTGACGTTTTTGGCGAACTCGCTTTCATCCACCCCAGAAGAGCGGGTGTTTCCATCTGTAATATGCTAGTCATACTGTTAGATTCTAATCAAACCGAAGTATTATTTGCTCAATACCTCGACGTCAACATCTTGCTGTGCATCGGCTCTGATCGCATCAGCTAAGTGTTCCAGTGTCTCGGTGTTATCTAATTGACAGATTATCGACCCGTGTTTCATGATCTCGCCCATAAGCTCAAAATTGTCATCGAGGTGGCCTTTCAGTACCTCCTGGATAGAGTATTTAGCAACATTCTCGCGATCGATCAGTGCGTGGCGGCGGCATTTATGGCCATCAAAGAACCTCTGTATTGCTATGCGGTGAGATTAGTTAATAGTCTTCAGACACAGACATTACCACCTACCTTCCTGCCTTGAAAACTTGTCGTGAGGGTCCCATCTGCTTTTTTTAGTAGCCTTTTGTCGGCGAGAATGCTTTGCTCGCTTGCCGCGTGGGTGCTGGAACAGTTCAGTAGTGATCCTCCCAGACCAAATTGCAGACGCCTTTGCGGCTGCAGGCCGCTGATGCTGCTCCTCGACCATGATTCAGACGAAAGCTTAGAACAAGGATGGAGCCAGCGGTCTTGTTCAAAGTAATCACGGAAATGGCTAAGGGTTTTCCGGCAAATTCACTAGCTCAATAAGTAAAACAGATGATCGAATAATTGTGAAGGGTTGAGGAAGCATGTAACGAGAACGGAATGAATGCCGTATCATGTAAATGTGAGGTATTGGGTAGTGGTAATGTGACAATCCTAGATAGTGTGATATGAGAGATGCTAGCAGACCGCAGTGGTAAAGAGAAAGAGAAATTGAGAATCTAGAGATAAGGTGATGCTGAAGGCTGATAAAAATGAATGTACTTGGAGATACCGGGTATGATGGAACTGATCCAGGTGCCGGGTGAGTGTAGAGATCACATCTATGCGAGAATTGGAAAAGATGCCCACTTGGTAGATTGTGGTCATGAGAAATGTACCTAGGTACCTCTGTAGATAAGTCAAGGCAGGGTTAGGAAGGGAGGTAGGCAGGTTGAGAATGGTGGGTTGACGAGATCGCGTCAAGGAAGGTACGTGGGATGAGCAAGGTAGACATGAGTATGCACGGCGGCGTTACCTTGGTTCAACTTTTGTTCGCATTTAGTCGTCCTCAACAGCAACCCAAAACTGAAAGACAAGTGTGCTCGTATGAGGCGATGTGCCTAGCTACTAGTAGGTAAGCCGGTGATTTACGTATGGGAACTAAGAGTCATAGAACGGTTATTTCTTTCATTCCTGCTCTGTTGGAAAGGAACTGCGAGTGCAATACTATTCTCGCTATGTATGGGTTACGACTTATCAGTTTAACATTCCCGTTGATAACCTCTCTATACCTTGAACCTGAATCCGTGAGCAGCCGCCTGTCCCGGTAATGCGTTAATCGCACCCTCGACATGAATACCCTGATCAAGCTTCTTGTTGAGCCTCGTGAGCATGATCCTTAGAGTGAGAGCCGCTGCGATGGAGAGCACAGTGGTCCCGCTGTTGACACCGAACGCGATGACATATTGAGGCGCCATCCAGTCTTGATATCTGTTTTCGTTGTCAGCATAGTGCCTATTTATTACACACGTTGTGCAAATCATGTTTGGTAGGATGACTAACAGATAGCTGACGTAGATACTGGTAGCATTAGATACAGCGTTGATAAAGGACAGGGCAGCAGCACGCTTGGCAGGGGGTCGAGGCATAGTGTTGCTAATCCAGGCCAGTGATACCACGAAGGCGCCGTACACTCCCGGGATCTACCTGAGTGTTAGCAATTGCTTGTACATGAGTGTATAACATGAATCTAGGAGCTTACCATGATAATGATAGCAAAGTAACGTGGTCCAATGCCCGATGTGGTTGCGGCAATAATGAAACCCACGAGAGCAACGCACAGCGAGCCCGTGATATGCCAGAATCTCTCACCGGTCCTATCCGCATGCCACGCATTGAGAGAGGAGGTGACAACGCAGAGGACGTACGGAGGACTTGTCAATAGAAGAGTCTCGACCGGGGGATATCCCAGAGTCTTGACAACTGCAGGCAAGAAGTTCGTCACACCACCAGATGACACAATACCGAGAAGCAATAACAGCTATTCGATGTTAGAATCTTTGTTTAAATCAAGGGTGATCCCAGAGACTTACCAAGACATAAGTTTTGATATCAGTAAATGCGAGCTTGGCGCCCTCCCACATAGACTGCTCTCCACCAGCCCAGTCATCCTCACCCACGTCTTCTTCCAGCCGCCAGATCGCAAGAGCTCTCTCTTCCTCGGTGAGCCACTTTGTTGTCCGTGGAAAGTTAGGCAGAATGGGGAGTGCGATGAATGCCACGGCTACGGTGATGACACCCTCGATGATGAAGAGCCATTGCCAGGCACCATAGCCTCTTGCGCCGTCAAGGTTTGCCTTGACGGCCGCTGCGATCAAGCCCGAAAATGCACCGGAAATACTACAAATGGCGAAAGTCAGTAATCTCCTTCAACTTGAAATGATAGAAAAGAGGCACTTGAAGGAAATACTCACAGTGCACCCGAGTATAGAAGAGCAGTGCGTAGACCGAGTTCTTTTCTCGTGTACCAGCAGCTGAGGTAGTACAAACATCCAGGCTGTTGTGAATGAGGATCAGTATCAATAGATATGCTTGGCGTGGGGTGCATCAGAACTTACAAAGTACACAGCTTCAACGAAACCCAAGAAGAATCGTACCGCGAGTAGACCGCCAAAGTTCTAGGGTGCTCATATTAGTTCGATATATTCATCCGTGTATTGAGAGGTTGCTTGTGTTTGCTTACTGTTACTGCTGCTGTAGATGCTGAAATGACGCCCCAAACTGCCATCTATATCATACAAAGTTAGTTTTTATGAAGATTCTGGCACAGCATAGCCGTCTTTCTAGATCCCGACTTACACAAGCCGGCAAGTAGATACCAGGCAATCCAATTTTGTTCAAGAATAAATTCGAAGGAACTTGCATCAGCAAGTAACTACACCAAGTCAGAGACACCGCGCAATCGTTTTCCGTGGAAAGTAAGTAGTCTTACCCAACGAAGAGAATACTGACGGCCGTCTGGAACTCGGCCCCTTTCAAGTTGAGATCCTCCGGCAAACCGGCCAATTTCGCAGCGGCGATGTTGTTTCTATGCGACGTTAGTAGGAAGACACTCTCTAGCACCACGGAAAGGTAATATTAACTAACCGGTCAATGTAATTCAAGATATCTATTCCCATGGAAAACTGTTAGCGACTGTATCTCGACGCCACGAAGTAATACCAAGCCGACTGGTCGCTGGGCGTTTCCCGCTCCCGCACGGCGCCACTTCAGATAAGCATTTTTAGGGCTGCCAAGGGTGCCGGTACTTCACTTACACATAATGATAATCATGGGGAGCAAGCGCCAATCGATTTTTCTGACGAGGTGCTTTTCGAGCTTGATGCGCTCCTCGGGCGTCAAGCGCATAATGATCTCTGGAGGTTGCAACCCTCTCGCCACAGCTTGCTGCACGTCGGCGACATTTCCGCTCGTGTCGACAACGTGGACGGATTTGGCGTCGTCGTGGGAGGACGATGCTCGTCCCACGTCCGAGATATGGCTCGAATCGGCGACCATGTCATCATTTGCGACCTTGGGCGGCGCAGGTCCATCCCCCGGTTTCTCCATTAGTCGCAGAATATAGAAGCTGCCTTTTCTATCTGGCGATGTACAAAATGGGTGCGAATTGGACACTAGGTAGATTGCCCGCAGATTTCTCGCAACGTCGACGAAGAGATGCGAGTGGAGTTATACAAACGAGAGGGAGAGACAGGTTTTATTGCCCAATGTGACCCCCAAGTTGCAAGGTCTGGCAGGGCTGGTTGTACCTAGCTAGACCGCTTCGCTCGGGTTTCCTTCACGAGCTCTAGCCGAACTCGTCTCCCTTCCACCAGTCACCTATCATGAACAATGTCGCTCAGCGATAGTGACCAGCACTACAGGAAAACAGACTCAAACTAACAGATCAGCGCCAATTAGCGGGAAAATGGGGATAAGAATTACTCCAGACGGAGACCCCGAACTATATATCTCCTCGCTCTAAGTGCCTCCCCCAACTCCCTTGTGAGTTGGAGATAGGCCCAGCTAGATGAACGTAACTAATACTATTGCAATCACACGAGGGCGATAATTACATAATAGCCCAGCAACAGCCTTCCCGGCTGTAGTCTAGCGCCGGTGAGAATCACCAGATGTTGCGAGGTTACCGCCTGCTTCACTACCATTCGTTGTGGTATCTCCTATGTCTAGCGTGGAGATGGCGCTGCGATGACCCCATTCAACCCCAACATATGTTAAACTCCACCAGTTCTAGTGTCCTGGAGATGAGCTTAGCCCAGCGCCAAGCCAAAGTCCCGAATGCGGGGAAACTTGGGATTTGCTGGAGGTGGCTTTTTCCTAGCGTAGGGGAAGCCCTGAGCAGACCCTGAGGAAGGCAGATGTAACCGGCATTGGGCCCTACGATTGGATGACGTTGGCAATTCGGCCCGTGGGTGAGAAGGACAAATTTTCCCGAGCTTACATAGTACTTCGTACGAGCGATCAGTTGCCCACTCGCCAATGAATCAAGTGATACGAGGAAGAGACAGTCGGGGCAGGCAAATGTAATTAATACCTACTCGGTATCTGCTACTACCCAGGATGTAGAAGTCCACAACACGATAGGGTGATGGTGAGAGACCGCATTCTTCTAGTACCTACGTATTTTCCAGCCTCGCGCGACGACGTCGTCAGCGCGCATAAGTTGGCTAGTATAGTGTCCCTATCCTTCTCGCCTGTGTGCTTGCATATAGACATTGAAGATAGAGTCGGTTTTATTACCGGTAAACTGATACCAAGTAAGCCGAGGACTATTGAGGCTATAATAGAGCTATGTAAATATATAAGTTGTTGGATTGGAGTAATACGTAAAGTGGTAGCCTTGTTAACTAGGTATACTAACCACTCTGCCTACATTGCCTCTATGGCAATACATTCGCTATAGCTACGCAAGGAGCTTTATATTAAAAAATAAGTTAATAAGAAATAAAAAGTTAAAAAAAGCTTATTTAAAGATATATATATTGCTATATGTGATGGAAACGATCTCTGGATGGCAATGAGTAGCAGCGCATAGGACTTCTATAGGAATTAATTAGACAATAGCCAAACAGTAGATAAAACAGCTACAATGTAGAAGTCGCCAGAACATACCCTCACCAGGGGCTAGAAGACGTGCCTCGATGGACTTGGCAACAGCATGCTTACGTACAACTAGCACCAACCGCAAAGTCTTACCTAAAGCGATTTCCTAGATATGCCCTGGTCGCGGGCAGGGTGTCGAAATGATAGGAGCGCTAGGCACCGCAGAGATATGAACAGAGGTGCAGATGTCGCAAGAGATACAGAGGTACGGAGGCGGGCATGTAGGCATTCCTGGAGTTGTAGAGGGTGTGATGGTAAGCGAGCCTTCCAAGCACTCAACGAATCAGTCAAGGAACGCGGAAAAAGTGGCGCTAGAAGGCGGGGCAATGAGTAGCAGTAGTGGCAGGCTTAGCGCCTAGTCTCACTACGCGCCCCGGCAGGGTAGAGAGGTAGCTGCATTGCCACAGCGGTCGAGGATGGTACACTCATCCATTTCGAATGGGCCTCGCCTCACTGTTTTACTTTCTAGGTATAAATAGGAGAGCTTTGCTCCCTGATGGCAAGAGATACAAAGTGGCCTAATGGAGTAGACCCATCCGCTTGTACTCCGTATTCCTCTATGTTGCGGTATATCTTATCGATATACTTGCTAACTCCTGAAAGATGTAGGATATGTGCAATAGTGCAATGTATAGCTAGTAGTCGACGCGATGGAGGCTTGATTGTCCAATCGGGAGTGAGGTAAAGCTCGCGGATTATAGGAAGTGCCGGTCGCCGGAAGAAGTATTCTTCAGTAACATATGTTCTAATCGTATAGATATGATCTCTATCGGGGACGGGTTCAAAGTAAACTTAGAAATCGCCAAACAATTGATGAAAATGGTAAGTTAGAGTAAGGGCATTGTACGGCCGGTCAATTTCGGGGCTTTGGATAAGTTCCGCAACACCCACGTCGAACATATTCAATATTGTAAGCGCAGATTGTTTAGAAGTATCCTAAATAGAAATTTAGCATAAGATATCGCCCAAATAAAAAATACGTACCAGTTTACCAATCTGATTTACTTTCGTAAGGGAGTGTGGAAGGATATGTGCTACTTTTAGCTGATCCGGCTCAATTGGATCGTTAGCTATTAAATTACTATTATCGTCTCGAGGGCCACCTAAAGTACGACGTCGTTTCATCGCTTTATTGAAATCAAATCTTCGTGATATTATATAGCGATGACGATCACGGATAAGACAGTCTCTCCGAAGGATTGATAATCGTGGTCCGGTTCCGGTATACTGTTGCCTGCTACTACCTTGTGCCTCTTGGACAGCAGAATATAAAGCGGGTGAGGGCTGCGGGGTCTTCCTTGTAGAAGCCTTGACTATAAGACATCATTAGCAGCTAACAAGAGTATAGCAGCTAGCAAAGCGTTACCGGGCAAGAAGAAATTAGTAAAAAGATAGTCTCCAAATTCGAAGAATTTCGAGCGGATATCTTCCAAACTAATAGCGTCATCTCCGCGAATCGGAAGCCCAACAGCTTTAAAGAAAGCGCGTAGGAAGTGATCGCCAGATTCTGGAGAAAGTGAATATGTATAGGTGTAACGAACAAGCCGAGGGTGGCTAAAATCTCCCTGAGGCAGCCCGGTATCAAAGTGCTCGCAGATGCTGTAGAATCTACGACTGGCATGGTCGCGCAGCTCTGTCTCCAAGAGTGGTTCTCGAGAAAAGTTGATAACGTTTTCAAGCGATGATTGATGGCGGTGAAGCGGCGATGCCATTTTGCCTGGTTCCTGAAGAACGTGTAGGAACGTTTAAAAGGTCAACTAGCACTAGGACAAGCAAGAAGGCAACACCAACACTTAATTGTGCATTAATTGGCTACCGTACTTCATACTCCGTTTCAGCCACACCCGTTATCTGTGGCCCGCCAACACTGATGTGGCTTGAAGATGAATCTACCTATGCTCTACCCTAAGGTCCCCGTTTACCCAATATCCTGGCTTCAGATATAACCCCTTATATTTGACAGATATCTGTGACTTTAACAGACTTCCAATGAATCAATTCTTGCCTTTTCAAGCCTTGGCGAAATAGTATCATAAAGTCTTGAATTGCATTAGTTTACACATAGTAACTAACCTAAATAGATGGTTACGGTAGGTGAGCAAGTATTCAGCGCTGAAATTTGGATGGGGCTACTGGACAATCTAGGATAGATGGACGGAGATTCTCCGAAAGCTAGGGGTGTTGGGATGAAGAAATTACCCGATTCAGCAAACAATTGCTGAGTAGGTTCCATTCTGGGCAACTCTTATCTACCCATACTTAAAATCAAAGAATATAAATCTCAAATGGTCTGCTGCAGTATAATCCCAGAATTTAAATATAGAACAAGAAACTAACGTTACTGTGCTGAAACCGCTTGCTTCACATCTCTTCCAAACAAAACCCATATCCCTCCCAGAATATGCTCCTATTGACTCTTTACTCCCGCTTCCCATGCTTATGCACCCTTAATTGACGCAACCGCTTGCTATATGCTACTTAAGTGACCGACGCCCGATCGATATCCAATCTTCCAAGGCGCCCGCTACATATCAAAGAATGGCAATGCTGGTAGTGCTCTGGCAAATGGCACGAAGAAGAACAAAATTCCGAATGAATGCAATGATGGGTACGATGGTTTCGGAATGAATGAATGGATGGATGATGGTTCGGTCTGAGTGACCGCCGAACGACTGAGGGCATCGAGTGAGCGACCGTTTATCAATACCACGAGAGTAGATCAAGGAATGTCGTCGTGCGTATCCGCATTTCGAGAACGAGGGGGGGATAACGAGCGAAGCGACCCGGCTTAAGTTTCAAACGAAGGCGATTCGGAAGGCTTCGGATGGGAACGATTGAAAAGAGTGGGGCTGAAGTGTCCGAGAAAACGCCCCAACGCCAACAACCTTCTATATTCTGCGACGACAAGACAAAAAAGGGAGTGTGAAATTCTTTCCAAGGGCCTGACAGCGCAAACTCTTCCTGTCGGACGATGGCGATTTATACGCCTGAATCCTCCTGCTCGACGTTGTTTGTGTCTTGGTAGTCGTTCCATTTGGCGCAGGTGTCTTGGAGGGAGTCCAGGTCGGTAATATCGCCGATCTCAGAGTTGCGCTCGACGAGCTGCAGCGCGAAACCCTGGGATGTGTGCCAGCCGATCTGAATGTCGCGAAATAGTTAGTTATGGACAGGCCGGGAGCCGTACTGTGGGAGGGGGAAGTACTCACGTGGCAGTGTGCAAGCCAGACACCTGGGTTGTCGTTTGTGAAGGCAATGGCCAGGTAGCCGAATGCGGGAAGCATGGCCACATCACGACGCGGAGGGTTGGATAGGTTCAGCGGCGAGTCATCCGAGAAGGTCGCCATGGGTTCCTGAGCCAAGACGAAGAAGTCGTGGCCGTGCAAGTGGACTGGGTGTGCCTGGGAACTATTAGCTTCTGTATGCTATTTGCCGTCTGCGTGGTACTCACCAGACCAAGCTGCGACTCAACGACGAGGTAAGTCCAGGTGTTTGTCTCGTTAAGGTTGATGATATTCTCTTGCTCAGTGAAGACAGCACCAGGAGTCAAGACTTTCTCAAGGGCTGGAGAAGAGACTGTCAGTACAATAGTATAGCAGCGTTAGGTTGATATCTGGCGTTACTTACTAGGCTCGCCCCAGTCCGAGAGGAATGTGTTGTCGTTCAGCTTCCACTTGAAGAAGCCGCCAACAATATCTAGGGTAACGTCCATAACTGTTTCAGACGTGGCCGCACCGACATCAAGGGAAAGGTGAGGGACGAGGTTCGAAGTCAACTCATCTTCACAGCTATCATCGTATGGCCATGCTTCGGTCACAGGCTCCTCGACGGCAAGGTCGTCGTAGGTTACTATGCCCTTGATGTTGAGCGTCATTTCGTTGGTGGTGCAAGTGATCTGGGGGATGGCGCGCATCCAGTAGTTGCCTGGTTCCTGGTCGGCCTTGACAATGACATCGTATCGTTGGCCGATGGCAACGTTGACCATATCCGTCTCGTATGGGACAATGGGCACTAGATCCGATGCAATAACCGTCAAGGTGTGGTTGTCGATGCCAAAGCGGAACATGGTGTCGATAGCCGTGTTCACGAGACGAAGACGATATGACTTGCCACTCTCAAAGTTGGTCTCGAAGCGTGAGCCGCCCTCGTCGTACACGTTGAGACCGTTGATGAGACCATTCTGGGCTGTTGGTGGTGCACCACTGGAGGCTGTGGCATATAATTGGTCGGTAGTCCGGTGGAACCAGTCACTCAAGGCGATGATACCCTTATCCTCATTATACGGAGCAGAAGCAGGTCCGTGGATGATAACACCACCAAATACGCCATTCCTTGGAGATTGTCAGCTCGGATTCTCGATATCTAGTAGGTATGGCGATCTACTTACCAAGCCTGAAGGGAGAAGTGGCTGTGATACCAAGTGCTTCCGTACTAGCCAATGGTTAGTAAGAGCCATTCCTGACGGCGGAATATAGACAGCAGTACCTGTGTGGCTCTGAATCTGTACGTCATGCTATCACCTGGGGCCACGGGGCATTGAGTGATGGAGGCCACACCATCTTGCTCAGAAGAGTTCAGTTGACGAATGCCGTGCCAGTGAATGCTGGTGCCATTGTTCTCCATGCTGTTCTTCACATGAATCACTACACAAGATTCATTAGTACCTTGTTCCAAAAGTGAAGCTCATCGTGGTGCAAGGCTTACCAAAGGTATCACCCCAGTCACCCTCGATTGTTGGACCAGGTATCGATCCGTTAATAGACAGGGTCATGCGCTCGACGCCATCAGGGGCAAGCGTTTTGTTCACGACTTCAAACCAATACTCGCGGATGACGCCCGTGTCGGGAGCCTCCTCGTACCAGTTAGTATCGAGCGAGTATTCGCCCCAGCAGTTAGGGGCGGTGGCAGAGTCGAATTCACAGGCGTCAGACTGCCTGGGACTCAAATCGGAAGATGCCGGTGCGGCAGCAACCAGTGCTGGAAATGCTATGGCTGTCAAGCCAGATAAAAGATGAACGATGTGCATGTTGAAGGAATGTCTGAATAAACTATCGAGGAGAAAGACCGTGGTGAGAAGAGAGAGACTGTCCAAATCAGCTGCCGGGTGCTGCTGTTGCTGCTGTTGTCTGCTGGACTATTATCATCACGATGAAGGGAAACGATCATACTTATATATAAAAAACGGCGAGGACCAGCAAGTAGCGCTACGGCACCCCTATGCGGAGAACGAAGGCTGACCGATATCACCGTAGGTGCTGCAACGTGCCATAGCCTCACCCACGGCACGACAATGTCGGCGCCGGCACATCAGGATGCGCCGTCCGTCTAGGATACTTAGGCAACAAGCATCGCCAAAAGTTCGTTGTCGATAATGATGACATGGTGATGTGGAGGGTGGTTCATGCACAGTTTCTCAATCTATCGATTCAATAATCCAGGGTCCGACATAAGTCTAATACGGAAAGGGTCATGGAGCCGTGGGCTTGCCGGCTGTACAGAGTCCTGTATCAGACTTTTGTCGTTCGATTACCAGAACTGTGTGAGGGCATTGAGCTGCAATTCGTCATCGTCAGCATCTCCTAAGAACGAAAAGACTTTGTTCGTGTCCACATTTAGAGTGACCAGGTTCGGCTTCAATGGGTTTAGCTGGTCAGATGGTATTTGCAAAAAGACACTAACTAGTTCTTGTGATGGAACCCAGCCCACCCGAAGAGACAATCTCCCTGCCTCCTAGCTAGGTCATTTCTAGAAGACTTATCGACTCTAACTAACCCCATGATCGTACTAACCACGCCCAAGAAAAAAGCAAGAAAATCAAGAGCCGGCCTAGTACCTTGACATTATGAGCCTCTTGAGAAAGGAGGCTTAACAAAGCTGTGCGGTTCAAATTCAAGCACTGTCCAACGAACGCGGAAGGTGTTACGTGCCGTTACGTGCCGGGGTAGGCTGCCATTGCTCATTTCTACAGTATGTATCTGACAGACAATGTGTAGTTTTGTTTGTCTAATAGTTAGCCTATCGATCATATAGACTAAGGTCTAGGTGGAATACAACTGATCCCCGCTCATCTCACATGGATGTGTACCTGCATGCATGCTGTATGTGGGAAAAATATGGCCCAGGCGCATCGAGAAGGGGAACTAGGCGGATCGGCCTGAAAGCGAAAATCCGCTGTGGTCCCTGAATATCACTTTGCTGTACGATGGGACCAACGACAGTATGGATAAAGGTAAGCAGCACACGGTCTACTGTAGGAGACTAGGGTACTCGGGTATGGCACTCTGCGCAGTGCGTAGTGTATATGGGGTAGTTTGGGTTTATTGTAAGGATGTAAGGATTGTTTGCGCCTTAGTCAACCCTCCAAGTCGGCGTGGTGTTCACAACCCAACCTTGATGGTTCTCACTTTGCAGGAGCATACCCTTGACAACGGCAGCCATCACCATGGTCCGCCCATGTTTGTAATGACTAAGTAATTGGGAAGAGTAGTGGGTAGTTCTGTAGCATTGAGGTTTCGAAGGTTGCACTGAAACAGGTCGAGCACACATTGCCTGTACCTTACTCCGAACTATTATGACGATCCATCGACCCACTCGGCTTATAACGTTGGTTTGGTAGAAGGATGTAGCCTAGTCTTGGCTCGTTGATGCTTTGCAAGAGGAGCTGCAGTAGCCGATGTTGGTGTAGTTGTTTTCTGCATTTCGTTCTGCGCCAGGTTCTCGGGCAGCCATGACGTTTAAGCGCAGTCTTTAATTTACGACCCATGAATCAGCTTTACACAAGAGGTCAAGTCCATCGAGCTAGCTATTCATAGAAAGAAAATTAAGCATCCAGTCTAGTGTAGCGCCCGCCCCAGCTTCTTCTCCGAGCTGAGCACATGGGATCCCTCGTGCACATCAATTAGTTGCTTGTCTCTCCCGTAGTTGCGGCTTTGAACCTCTAGCAGACTCTAGGTAACATAGCCGCTATTGCGGGTCATTAACATATAAGCCATATATGTTACTACTACGTAGGTGAGTAGTGGACGAAGGAGTCCACGTACTCCTAACGTGCTGCATGTCCAGTGTTGCATAGGCCGATGCAATATCGTAGCCATCCATACTTAGTATCCGCCCAAGGAAGGACAAGGGAGCCAGCTGGGTGCTGAGGCTCCATTGGAGAGAGACCCGCAAACCCATTACTAATTACCCACATCGTTTGTCCCACACGCACGCGATGAAGCCGGTTGTGCCGCACGTGGAGATGAGTAGCATTGAAGCACGCACCCTGATTCCGACCCTGGCATCGTGTTGTGATGGCGAGCGATGGCCACGGGACACACACAGCCAGCCCCCTGCCGCCTACATGTAGTGTAGGCAGTGTAGGCAGTGTAGAGCGCCATAAGTAACGAATCCGAGAATGCGATCTAGTCGGGCAATAATCTCTCCTCTCAATGCGACGTGATCCTGGGCTTCATGATACTTAGTTAGCCTTGGCTTAAGGGCTTAATCCAGCTTAAATTAGCAACACGGCCTACCGGAGAGTCGGATCGAACGCAGTGTTATAGGACGTCCTCCCGAGAGCTGCCATGGGATTTCCCGCTCTGGCCGTCCTGCCAGAGATGAATCACCAACTGGTCATCCTCGCGCTGCTGAGAAAGCCATCACGCGGGAGGTTAGTCAGTTCCCGTCTTCGCTCCAACGAGTTTCCTCGGGTCTGCTTGGGTGGAGGTGGTGTACTAGGTAGGTAGGTCGTGAGTCACGGCTAACAGCCGTCGCGGCGCCCCTACGCTAATTAACTCCCCGTCGGTCTCCACTTTGTTCGCTTAATACTGCTTTGACATTGGCCCTGGACTGGCCGCCTTCGCGGAAGCCGCCTGCGTGTACTTGAGCGCATACATACATAAGTTTCAAACATACCGTAGTGCGATGTCTGTGCTGTCTGCGCACCGCCGGCACACTAAATACCGCTACCCGTAGCGTACCATGGTGAGCCTGGCTCTGGTCGGACTCTGGTGATGATCCAGTCCTGATATAGCAATCGCTAAGTCCGAAAACCAAGCTTTGATCCTTCTGATCTATGGCGAACATAGTAGAGTCTCCAGATTAGCCTTATTCTGGCCTTGAGTATGCAAGAAACCGAACACGGAAATCCTGAGAAATACCTATACCTCCCTAAGTAGGTACTTCTGATTCCGCTCTGACTCTGCTCTGACCCCTCCTCCAGGGCTCTCTCGGCCCAGCCTCGCTACCAAATATCTTTGTTATCGATAATGGAAAGGACAGCCTCAGCTATTTTTAGCCACGCCTTACTTACCTCAGCTTCGGCTGCCGACCTACCGACCTCACACTACAATAACCACAATAACCTCTCAAGGAGTCAATCACTAGGTACTGTCTGGCCTAAGTACGGACTAGTGCCAAGATTAATGCCAAGGTCACGATGTATTTGTCAAAATATCATACTAAAGCGATGATTACAATATAGGTAGTAGTCGAAATAGTGTATTGGTATGCAGAAATCGGCGTTCTGATCTGAATAGGTACCTATCTAGCGTACCTAGTACTATGCAGCAAATGACGTACTGGTCTATAGCGGGGTACGGTATAAGTAAAGTACCCATCCTCGATGGTACTCTCCTGCCGCCCTCCTCCATCTCATTACCTAGAATCTCATCTTCAGCCAGCAGCGCACCTGATCTGACCTGATCTGATCTGGTCAAAGCAGCACCTTGGCACTTTGCCGGAGACTGGAGTAGGTTGGTCGGTACTAGGCACGCACTGTGAAGCTCTATCTAAGTAAGTATGTACAACCGGGGGTCTTGAAGCAGGTACATGACTACCAACCTAAGTATGTAGGTACATAGGTACACTAATGAATACGAACCAGCGTTAGCCCTTGGACTAGGCCGCGAACAGCCCAGGCCATGCATCAATTGTATCCGCTCAATTGCATCCGCAGATTTCCACAGGCAGAACATGGGCCCTCCGGCCACGGCCATTTTACAATTGCTTATATCTGCTTCCGCGCATGTTCGCTTCCTGCAACCATCCCGCAACCATCCCGCAGTCAACCTCGCCCTCGCGCAGCTGGCAGCTACACTATCGACGGCTTTCAGGCTACTAACAGACTTGGCTAGGTAGGGTACGGCTGTAGTCAAGCCCCACGATGGCATGCAGGCGGCATACGCCGTGACCCCGGACGGGCCTCGTCATCTTTTTGCGACTTACACGTAGGTATTATTGTCTAGACTGTCATGTGCGGAAGCCTGGCCCCCTTAAACCCCGACAGCTGCACGCTACGTCAAGAGGCCTCGTCCTTGCTGTCTCCATCCGCTTTGCTACCAGGAAGTTCCCGACTTCTTAGTAGGTAATTGTCCAGCTTGGAGATGTTGGGGATGGGGATGGGGATGGGGGAGAGAGAGAAATCGATCGATACTATGTAAATCGTCGGAAAGTAACAACTAGGTATTGTCGAACGCCGACTACCTACAAACCAGCCAATCCGGAGTTTGCATATTGCCGCACCCTCGATGCCTGCGACTTCCACGTTCATTACAAAGTAGACGTCACAAAAAGCTACAGGCCATAGTTGCAGTCACCCACAGATCTACCTCGATGGTATCTACGAAGTGATGTCTGTGTGTGATGAACCGGTATATGAGCGATACCTGGATCTTGTTACTACTGTGTTTGCAGCAATCCAGCAGCCACTTCCGTAGGTGGCGTTCTCTCCACCCCAGCTACTCCAACCGATTGGGGCGCATCATGGGCGTAATAATATTCCTCCGCTCGCTAAACGGCAGGTCAGCAGCGCTGTATCTGCGGCTCGGCAAGCCACACGAACAAACGCCTGGGAGGTATCATCACCACGCCGTATTGCGGCGTAGCTTCAGCAGGTCCTAAATGATCCGAACCACCGACGCTACCCATCAAGCTGGTAACGAACGGGACGTGGAGGAATCTGCCAGGGTGGCACCTCATAGGCTTTCTCTAGCGGCACGGCTGAACAGGAATCTAACATGGTCCAACCCGCACTTCCGCTAACTCAGCCGTATGAACACCGTCAAGATCGCGTGACGGTGGGATTTCGATTACTCTCATCCTAGGTGAGCCTGACTCAGATTCATAAATGCAACGTGATTCATGCTTGGGGTAATGCTTGGGTGTCTGTGTGCGCTCCAGTGAGTGTCGCCAATTGTTCCCTTTTTCGATGATTATAAACTACGCTCTTTTTATCCTCGTTGCCTAATGTTACAGCGAGCTCGTAACGTGCCTGCTTATCAAATTCTCGCCAAAGCCTTGTCTCGGTGTTACACGGCTGGTAAATATCGCCGAGCTTGTGGCCGCACCCGAGACGTAGCATCGGTCCCGATGCTCTTGCAGGGCCAAGTAGTAGCGTCGAGAGCTTAACCGAATATGCGGTCTGACCACCTGGTCTACTATTCGCTGTATATTCTCAGTACAGAGCACACTCGAGGTGAACGTGAAAATATTGGTCTGGCCTCCATGTAATGCCTCGTCGGTTCGCGTTGATAAAGGTGGGGTGAGCACACCTCTTGGAAGGAAATAACCCTTCTAGATTCCACCTACCGTGCCGCTTCTCTGTCAAGCGCCAAGACCTGGCGACTATTGTAACTTCTCGGTAATCGATGCCAAGAAGACCAGTCAACTCTCGTGAGCGAGGTCTCCTCACAGAATCCGTCCAACCCCTCGTCTCGTAAACGCAATCAGACTCGTGAGAGCTAACGGTGTCTGCTCAGAAAACAAGGAAAGGGGGCCACAATAGGACTCAAGAGCCTGTATCGACCAGTCTCGCCGGCTGCAGCCAATGATTCGTGACGACTTGTTGGTAAGCTGCTTCGCCTCGTGCATCAAGCTGCAAAGGATTACCCAGCATGCCATTCAGGAGATAGAGCGGAGTGTGGACTCTTCTTCTAGAAGCAGGAACGCATGTCGCACCTTCGCTGCACTTCGGGCTTATGTTCGGGACGCTCGCGGGAGGCCATGACCGTGTTGCCGCTTGCAACATTGCGATGGTAAGTGCGGAGGTATGTCCCGTGTTGACATGATGCGAGGGGGGAAGTTCTTGGCAATGAACCGTAGAACCGTTGATGCCCGTATAGAAGCACGAGAATCGACTCTTGTTTGACTTGAACCCGGAGGTAGCTCTTCCCGAACAATACCATGATGATAGAGTCTGAGTTATAATTGTTCTCTTGGATACGTTAACTTGGTGCAAAGTGAGAGAGCACTACCAATACTCAACGGAGATGAGCGGTGAGCGATCTTGTTACGACTTCAGTCGTTCGTTGGGTCCTCGAAGACCTGGTCCTTGTAGAGGGTCTCGGCGAGAACAGTCTGTGTAGATGGTAGCTACCCCTAGTTGTGAGGGAACGCTATACGACATACTGGGCGGTGCAGTCGATGTGGGCGCTTAGGTTTCGGGCTATTATTGTTGAGGATGCAAGATCATGAATGTTCGTTGCTGCACAGGGAGCCTAGACTGACGATCTTTGCCATTTTTGAATCATCTTTTTTTTCTACACGTTCAGTAGAAATGTGACGCGTTGAGGAGCCGGGTTGTGGAGTCTATCACATATAGAACCCTGAATATAGCCCTGCAAAGTAGTATTCGAGCATCACCATACAGGTTCGACAGTAACGTATATCTTGGCAAGGTATCTTTTCGCGGCCATAAGTCCCATCATTCTAGACACAATCATTTCAATCGGCTCTGTATCGCGTTCTAGAATCATAAGTCGTTCTATTCAGAACAAAAATTGTTAGTCCACTCGTTTTACAACAGTAGGTACTCTTCCTTCCTTACACAGTATATTTGAAACGTTAACAACATTACAGAAACAATACTGATCTGCATTAAGAGCTTCTAGAAAATAAGTCTGCAAGATCGGCCGCTATCTGATGAGATTGGATCTCCGTCCCCGGCCCTTGACCCTGCGTAGATTCAGATTGTTCGGCTCATGATGCGGTCGGGGGACATCATCTTTCGGTCAAACGGCCGAGCCCCGATGCTACTTATGTAACCAAAGGTGGTGTGATGCATCCGACAACGGCCGATGCTTCACACTGGACCTGACATTACCATTTCGTAAGGAGCACATTGGAGTAGGCATCATCTCAGTGATGGCTGATAAAGGGTGAATAATATGGCGCATTGGACCACGACCCCTGATCAGTAAAGGCCAGTAGGTGGTCTACTGGTTCAATAGAATAGGCAGCTCTCGTATATCTGATGACAAGTAGTTGCCCCTCACTGTGAAAATATTATTCAGAAAACGCACCGCGGCAGGTGATTCTTGGTCTAGGTAGGCCAGATGTGCTCTTATCACGAGATTTAGAGTTAACTAGTGACATCAGAAACCACAAGTAAGTGTTGCGATGAGACTTGCTTAACTACAACAGCAGGCTATATCAATAGGTGGATGAAAAAGTAGAATTAGAATGTAGCACTGCAATACTGCCTAGCTAGTAAAGTCAAGTTCAAGTCTATTTCATCATATCTTCGCTATTGGCTTGTTTAGCTTAGGTTTGAGCGGTATTCTAGGGTGGTCTCCAGCTAATTGGAGGCCAGTGATAGCTTCGAGCTCATCTACAGCCTCAAAAGCTTTGCCCAGTGGGACTTTGATGGTACGGAATCCTATGTTGCGACCACCCTTAAGGTTTTCCCCAATGTCGTCGAGAAATACCACCTCAGCTGCAGTCACCCCATCCATCCATCCACGCGACTGGCCTTTCTCCGAGGAAGCATTAGCTCGCGCGAATCTGTCGACTTCTTGTAGTGTATATTTGTAAATGCGAGGATCTGGCTTTCGTAGCCCTACGTGAGCCGATGACTGCAACATCCGGGGTCAGCTATTGTCACTATAAGCGGCATTACGTAGTCCTAAGGCTTTCAGAAGGAGATATAACCGAAGCCTTATTCTTCATGGGTGCTCTTGACGGGGAGAAAATATCTCCAACCAGAAAGTTGCTTACCACAAAGACATCAAATAGACTTCGAACCGGGTCGTCATAGAAATCATCGCGAAAGAGCGGGTGGCCCTTGGGAAAGATGACAGTATTACTCATAGCGGCAAGAATGAAGTGACCATTCTCCTTTAATCGCTGTAGGGCTGGATACATCCACGGATCAGGGGCCATGGAAGCAGTCATCATGTCGTTGAAAAGCCAACGTCCGTCCATCTTCGGAACATCAGGGACATGTTGCGGCCTGCTCAAATCCTTCGCTGCCTGCGCCTTGTAAAACGCAGTCCACCTCTCGGCATTATGTAAGTCCTCGTTGAAACCAGCATAGAAGGCATCGTCCAAGAGGATCTCTCCGCGCTCGAGTCGGTGCCAGAAGCCATTTGGCGCCGTTTTAGATATAGAATAGTTGACCCAACCGGGAGGAATCCCAAGGCTAAGCTCATAGTCCAGGATTGACTGAAAGGGTGAGACGACCTGAGACCTTGTTAGCTTCCAAAGAAGGAAGTTCCCATGGACAGCAAGGATGAGATGCATCTAGTATTCGGAATCGTAATACGCTTGAAAGATGAATTGTGATGCATGATATGAGGAAATTGGCTGTTTCATCTTCAACTCACACAAACACCGCCGATATCAAATAAAAGCACTTTAGGGGGTTTTTGATCTGCCATGATATTGGTACTCGAGGCAGGTTTCACGAAGCGGCGACGGGTAGAAAAAGGCGAATCAATATTAAACTGAAAGCAAGCAATTCTCAATTCTCACAGAGAAGTGCTCAAGAGGTTATTCAAGATACCACGCCAACACTGATCACCAGCCTCGGCATCCTGCACACCGAAGATCGTAGATCTTCATATACACCTGGGTAGGTAAATATTGTAGCTGAACATCTCCTGGACCTCGGTACACTGGCCCAGGTAGCTACTCTGAGTACGTACCTAGTAGAGGCGCGGGAGTGGTCTGTGCACCGAGTGCATTGCCGTCGTCGTCGCCCACCAAAGTCGTAGTTCCTCGAGACCCACCATTTTATGCTATCGGCCAATCAGAAGCGTTGAATCCCAAGCGAGTTTTCGCCCACAAAAATTCAAGCCCACCATCTTTTTCTTGAGTGCGGGTTGGGATATCATTTCTTGTCAACAGCATCCAAATCAACCTGAACTGTTCAACGAGCTGATACCGTCGCCAATCAGCCAAATCAGTCAAGATGGTAAGTTAAAATCGACAACACGCCAATTGCGATGCCAGAAACGGCCACTCCAATTGTGCATCCTACCCTCGGGGGTTGAAAGAGTCCATGCAAGATGCTTCGGATACGGAGAATGATCTGAAGCGCAAATTGCTGACTCGGGGATATCGTGACAGGCCTTCCACAAGCTCGTCAAGAACAGCGCGTACTACAGGTGAGTATCTCTCTTTGATTGTCATTGAAGTCCGTGGACTAACCAGCTGTCTCACAAACAGCCGCTTCCAGACCAAGTACAAGCGCAGAAGAGAGGGAAAGACCGACTACTATGCCCGTAAGCGATTGATCACCCAGGCCAAGAACAAGTACAATGCTCCCAAGTACCGTCTGGTCGTCCGCTTCACCAACCGCGACATCATCATGCAGATCGTCACCTCGGAGATCTCTGGTGACAAGGTCTTCGCTGCTGCCTACTCTCACGAGTTGAAGGCCTACGGTATCACCCACGGCCTCACCAACTGGGCTGCTGCCTACGCCACTGGTCTGCTCATCGCCCGTCGTGTCCTCAAGAAGCTCGGTCTCGACGAGACCTTCACTGGTGTCGAGGAGGCTGATGGAGAGTACACTCTCACTGAGGCTGCTGAGGAGGATGGTGAGGAGCGCCGCCCTTTCAAGGCTTTCCTTGATGTCGGTCTTGCCCGCACTTCCACTGGTGCCCGTGTCTTCGGTGCCATGAAGGGCGCTTCCGACGGTGGTATCTTCATTCCTCACTCCGAGAACCGATTCCCCGGTTACGACATGGAGTCCGAGGAGCTCGATGCCGAGACCCTCAAGAAGTACATCTTCGGTGGTCACGTTGCTGAGTACATGGAGACTCTTGCCGATGATGATGAGGAGCGATACAAGAGCCAGTTCGGTCAGTACCTCGAGGATGATATCGAGGCCGATGGTCTGGAGGACCTGTACACCGAGGCCCACGCTGCTATCCGCGAAGACCCCTTCAAGAAGGCTGAGGGTGAGGGCCCCAAGAAGACCAAGGAGCAGTGGAAGGCCGAGAGCAAGAAGTACCAGACTCCCAAGTCTACCAAGGCTGAGAAGGAGGAGAGAGTCAAGGCCAAGATCGCCGAGTTGCGTGACGCTTAAAATACAGGCAGGGTATAAAAGAATAAAAAAGGAATGTCCTTGTTGCACTTTACGGTTGTCTTTCGGCATAGGGAGTTCATGGGAATGGCATTCTCGGCAGGTTACTTAATGAAATGATGAATTAAGACTCTGTCAATATATTGATTTTTCACGTGATCATTCCACCTGTCGCCACACCTGTTTTTCGAAATTGTCAAAGAACTTATCTTAGTATGCTCTATGAATCAGCATGGTCGACACAATTGTGTTTCAGCCGTGGTACATTACAATCATGTTGTTACAGTGGGATCTCTAGCACAATTTCATGAGCGCTACGATGTGATTATGCGTCCTAGCATTAAGTCTATTAGTGCCCGAGATCCCTAAAAACAGTACAACGTAAACCCGAAAATCAGTTCAGAAATCCTCTGCTTCACAGGATCTCAATTAACAAGCGAATAGCGAATAGCGCACACGCCATCTCACGTTTATGCACAACTGTATCCAACAAAGCTCATCCTATGAGACATGCACCCTCAACCATGACCAGCACTACCCCAACTCCCCCTGATATCTCATCTCACGTGAGACGACTAACATCCACTCATAAAGAACTGTCTCCCCTAGACATGACACTGTCTACTCGTACCCTAATGATTGTTCGGTCTAGTTCGTGCTGCGTGTTGAGCCATCAATCGCCTCAGTTATTACTCTCTTCGTCCATCTTCTCAGCATCGTGGTCAGAGTCTTCAGTGGATGGGCGAGCCGACACGTCGACCATCGGCAAATCACCATCGTCCTTGAACTCGTCGTCTTTATCTTCTTGTCCTTCTGCTACCGATGCGAATGCGGAGAACTTGAGAGGACTGCCTAGTCGGCGCGTTGAGCGAGAACGCGGGCAGGGTGCGTACCGTCCGACTGGAGATAGCTGGGAAAGAGAGCCTCTGGCTGGAGCAGGGGAGGAAAGCGGATTGAGGAATGGATCGCTGCGGGTTGAAGAGCTGGTGGACTGTCTTTCGACGCCGACGTAATGAGATTCTGCGGGGATGCCGTGGTCTGGGGCCTTGGAGGGCGGCGACGAAGAGTCGAGTGATGCTTTTTTTATTCTTTTCCCCGCTTGATCATGGCCAACTTTAGTTGCGTGCTTTCTAGGCGGAGTAGCGGGCAGGAAGGAAGGAGGGCGCATTGGCGCTCTGCGTGGCTCGGTTGGTAGCTTCGAGCTGTCCATGGGTTTGTTGAGCAAGCTCGGAATTTCGGGGCGACGAGCCTTCAGGGCCGAAACTAGATCGTCATCGAGCGCTCTAATGTTAGATTGCGGCGCTGTTGGCTTCTGGGGCGACTGAACCTCGGGATTTGCGAAAGTCACTCTGGCACCTCGGTTTTTCTGTAACGAAGCTACTCTCCTCTCCAACTGGGCGACGGAATCTTCCAGTCTCTTCGACCTCGCGTCAATCTCAACGGCTTTATTGACGACGTCACCCAAGTAGTCGAAGAGACGCCTAACGTGAATATAGAGTCAGAAGTGGGATACTACTAAACTAAATCTGCAAGGTTATTGTATATGAGAATTGTAGGAATAGAAGAGAACAAGCGAGGTCTAATTTGTGGCCATCGAGGTGGGGAGAAGGGGGAGACGCAGTACTGAACAGACAGTGGTTGCTGAAAGGTATACCAGGAAAGACAGCAAGGTAGGAGATAAATCTAGACTTACTGCATCACCCGTGTCATGTCAGCCTCAAGTTCGTGCAAGTCGGTCTGATCCGCCATGGTCATTTATTATCTGGAAAATCTGTGTAGATAAAACACCAAGATCAGATAATCTACCAAGCCATGTTGGGGGCAAGGGGCAGTATTATAGGAAAGATGGGTTGTAAGGTATCCAACTAGTCTCTGAAGCCTGCGACGCCCAGATAAGGAAGACAATGGACCAAGTGAGAGAGGCAACTGTTATGCAATCATTGTTGCAACAACGTTTAGTGGAGGAATAAAAAGGAAGAGGTGAGGGATCTTGGACTCTAGGCATGGATCATTCCCTCCATTTCTCTGCGTTGCCTGGAAACAAAGTGTGCGTGTACGTTGGTGGACTGAGTAACTTCCTAGGCGTGTCTTGTTTTATGTTTTTGTTCACATGGGGACCCAGCAACACCGATAAGCAATGAGTATCAAAAAGGTCCAAGGCATTACTCTTTGCGTCTTGTCTTGACATAGACGTAATTCTCTCCTTTCTTCGTCCTCATTCGGTTTCACATATTAGGCACAGACAATCAAGAAGACATCTGCGGAAGGAAGTAGATGATAACTCATCGATAAAGAACTGCACTTGTCTAAGAGCACACAGTTAACATACCAGAACTTCAAGTTAGGGTAAGACTCATATTTAAGTATGTAAGCCATATGAGTGGCCTGTTGATATTGCCACAACAAAGCGTGTCTGGATGGGGTTCTGCCTAACAGCAATCAATCTCAATATCTCAATGGAGCCGCAATGACCACCAACAACCATAATAACATCTAGCCGAGGGAGCGGTAACAATTGTGCTGCCCACTAGCAATGCAAATTTTCTATTTATTTGTCAGCCACCAAAAGCTATATTGACTTCAACTCTGATCTTCCAACTCTATAGACCACATTCCCGCCATCCTGTTGCTTGACTACCACGCTTTGCCCACCCTTGCATTGCCTTTGACCAAAGGTCCTTTCAAATCGACTTTGCTTGGACTAGCTTCACGTCCTGCTCCAACTCGCATTGATACTCTTCAGGATGTGTTTCTTGAAGAGCAGACGACGTATATATTACCGCGACAAGGACTGGAAACCACCAAGAGACCTCACAATCCCTATTCCGTCGCAGTATCCTTCCCAGCTAGTATTTCCTGGGCCGAGCTACGAACCATTGCCGAGCTCTCAGATCACACCGCAAGCTTGCACTCCAATACCAAACTACCAGCAGGTCATGGCAGCGTCGACGCAGTCCTTGCCCATGCCGCAAGTTTCCTCGGCAATGGTACCCTTTTCTGCAATGGCACAACCTCTTGCAATGAGTCAGTCTCCTACAATGGTGCAACCTGCGACAATGCTGCAGGCCCAAACCATGATTCAGCAGCCTTATGGAATGGCACAGGCACCTGCGATGTTTCAGCCCTCTGCGATGATGCCGCCTTCTATCATGGCCCAGCCTTTCTCGATGACGCCTATGGTGCAAACACCTCAGTACTACGGCCCCTACCCATCGTATAGCGCCTTTATGCACCCTCGCTTCTGATAAATTGCCACTACGAGGCTATAAGACATCTACCAAGCTGTGAGACAACGAAACTTCGTCATCCACTACACACTACGTTTCGAACCATTGCAGTGGCGCTTCGTGCCGGAAGCAATCAAGAGCTCCCGGAAAAACCTAGATGGTAATGAGGGCGAAGGTATATCACAAAGGCGATCCAAGACTATCTATGAACGAGGCGGAGCATTGCATGCTGGGAAACATGGATGTTAGGGGCTTGTTGTTTGTCTTAGGCATGCCGTAGGGTTGTACCTAGACTAGTAGATGGATGGAAGGATAGATAAGCATAAAATGAATACCGAGTTGGTCGGTGGTCCGTGATCCATCTGTTCGAGGAATTGACCTTATGCCCGTCTACATGTCATTGCCTTGGGTATTGGTCAGTCAGTTGGTCTTGTAGTGAGTGCAGGTACTTATATGTGGTGAGGTTTGTGGAGTATGATTATCTAATATGGTGTTCTCGCTGGACAGACTGCTAAGTATGGATGTACTTTGTAGGCTGCATGATTAAGTAACCCCTGAAAGACCGAAAAGATGCCAGGCCATGCGCCATATTGTTAGACAATCATGAATTGCACTTGCGCTTCCCGCGTTTGCCCGAGTCATGTATCAGAACTTAGTGGCGATATGGCGGGGTCCGATTCATGCAAGGGATTAATTAGGTGGTCGGTGTTTCTAAGTAGGTCCTCTAGATACCTACATGTATCTAAGCTGGCCAGAGACTGGCCCTTGTATTTACTAGTAGGTAGTCTCCTTCGCGTGTGTACTGTAGATGAAACTCATACGGAACGTAAGGCACTGTGCGAAAACGGCCATTCTGACGGTGGTAAATCATCGTCACTTTCGAGCTATGCATTAGGTAGATATAGTAGATAAATACATAGAGTACCTAGTAGGTAGTCCCAACGTAAGCTTCATGTGAGGGAAAAAGCTGATGTCGGCTTGGGTAAAATCAACTAGGTATCATACTTACTTAAGGCCCCTCCCGGGAATCCCCAGCGTTGGCTACGAGTGGAGAGAATCTAGCCCATCGAGGAGCAGAGCGCGCTTATTATTTCACGCTACATAGTACCTAATCTACATGTACTATGTAAGTAGCGAGTAGTAAAAGGCTCTGATGTTGTTGTGGCCACAAGTTCTAGGCCTATCTACTGTACATAGATATTTGATTTGAACAGGTGATTCGCATTCCGTGCTGTGAAACCTTACCCACTGAAAAACAAGTATGGGAAGCGAGGGTTCATCGCATCCGCGCCTTTAGGACATGTCTACGAGATGATACGCAGGAACTCGTCGAGATATGTAGCAGTCGGGTAGACATGTGATCATACAGTCGAGGACTTGTCGCTGCCACGTGCTTGTACTGTGTTTCTCGGCGACTGTACATCACGTTAGCAGCAGGTAGTAAGTAGCTATACCCGTGTTCTAGAACATACCCGCCGCCAAACGTACATGTACATACATGATTAAGCGAATACCTGGGTACCTACCTATATACATACCAGGTAGTGTAGTGTAAGGTATCTATGCAGGGAGGCCAGCGAGGCCAGGTACCCAAGGGATGCATTGGTACATAAGTAGTAGGTGTCTGGTAGGTAGACGCGTGAAAATAACCTCAAGTTTACATACTTAAGTAGTAGATTCACCACTAAAAACCGGGATTCAATTTTATACTTATACATATGTGTAGGTACATATGCACACCATACCGGTATCGTGACTTATCTCCTGTGTAACTTGAAGGTAAGAACATGAAAATCTTGACCAGAACCAGCCCGATAGTTTATGGGTTAATGCGCTGATCTGGGTTCGTATCTACTACCACTAACCACCAGTAATATGTAGGTACCCAGCACAGCAGAGCTCGATGGTGAACCAAATACCACTCTAGCCACAAACCGAGCCACTGACGTGAGCGCTATTTTGTGTAGCGCAGGTACAGGTGCAATTGTAGTGGAGTACTCGCACTACCATGTAGTGTACATGTACCTACCTAGGTAAGCAGGCTAGGGAGTACATGCCATGGTATGTACCGCAAGTACCTAGACTGATGCGGCAGGTATCAGCCCATTGCCGCAGCACAGTGTGCCGACAATTAAATTCAGTTGGCATACACCCGCTGTCAACCACACACAACCCACAATCTGCTTCCGTTCTCACCTAGGAACGTCATCGTGAGTTTTGGGGCCACCGCCTCCACGAATTCCTCCAGAACTCATCAGCAAATATGATGACCCAACCTGCCGCTTATTGGCCGCCTTCTTGACAACAGTCCTCTTGGAGAGATACTATTTTTGTTGATTGAGGGTTTCGCATTGTTAGGAGCCGCAGTCCCCGGAGCCCTGACGACATTCTACTTGTCCGTCCGTCTCCTTCCCGGTCCTTGGTCCTTGGGTCCTGGGATCCTGGGTCCGCCCTTCTACTACACACATAACCCGAGCCCCGACACCCTGCGCATCATAAACTCTCAACACTCCACTCAGCCATTTGGTAATTGCTATATATTCACCTTGAGTTACCCTGGAAGCTCCTGGTCGCGACAAAATAAAGTCGTCGCTGACTAACAGGGGTGGTGGCGTTGGGGGAATCTGACCAAATTCACCCGCTTGAACTGATCATCTAGACTACGACTCAGCTATCCTCAACCAGCCATCGCACTTTTCTATGTAACTTTACCTTCTGCTGGGCCAAAATGGAACAAGCCTTAGATGTGAGCTGGATGACTCATGGTAAAGGTATTATAGTCACTCTCGCCTAGACATTGATCGCCATTCGCTGCCAACACTTGCCTGTCGCCGACGCTAACTGGCTGTCATTTCATGTTAGATGTCCTTCAAAGAAATGGGCAGCATGCGACTGCACCCTCTCAGTCCGATCATAGCGCACAACCTCCATCTCACCCCGTAGACCTTGCGACTCCGAGTAAACCCAACGGCAAAGTGGCATCTTCTTCTCCTTCGCCTTCCCCTGCCGCCACGACGCCAGCAAAGTCCATACCCCAACGAGGAGGCAGAACAAGGAGTCTATCAAATGAAGTATCCCCAGGCCCCAATGGCACACCACCACAGAGGAGGAGCTCTTGGTTCTCCAATATCTCATCCAAGTTTTCTGTTTCACCTGCGAATGCCCAGAGCCAAGGGTCGAACCCGCCGCCCAAGTCCGATAACAATGCCGATGATGTAACTCCTCTACCCAAGATAACGCCTAACAAAAATGCGGTTCTCCCCCATGCGGCACGACAGAGTGGCGATGCTCCTTATATCCCAGCGCCTCCGAGGGGCAATCAGCCTGGTTTTTTGGGTGTATTTCGTCGTCTATCGTCATCTAATGCGGCCATTAGCCCGGGCGCCAGAGCAAGTCATGGTCTCGTCGAGCGGCGGATTTTGAATGTTGACAAAAGCCGAGAAAGATGCCGCTTAAACGAACTCAATCAGGCAAAGCTTCGCCGGGTGGCATTTTGTGTTGATGTCGAGATCGCCCCGATGCCTAAATATTCCGATGATGAAACACCGTCGAAAATAGGTACAGAAAAGAGCGATAAGCTGAGGGTAGCAGAAAAAAGCGAAGGATTAGCTTTGAAAGCGCCCAAGGCCATCGAGGCGCAAAAGGAAAATAATGGCATGGTAAAAGCGACGGGTGAAACGTTACCTAAAGAACCCGAAAAGGAGGGTACTGCGACTGTAAACGGCAAGGAAGAGGAACCATCCAGCGAAAAAGCGAAAGAGCCAAAACCCGAGAAAGAAATATCGCGGAAAAAGGAAAAGAAGAAGAAAAGTGAGGCTGAGCGGAAAGCCAAGAAAGAGCAGAAACGGAAGGAGGCCCTCGAGAAAGGGTCTATTCCAATGGAGATTCATCTCGATAGCGATTCCTCAACCGAGGCGCATTCGACATCGACTCGCTCATCCCGACGTCAGAGTATACCTACCACAAACCCTGGAAGGATATACCGAAGGTGTTGCCAGCTACGAGAATCTGACATTTTGACCAAAGTTACCACACAACTTCCGAAGTCTACCGAAGGTTGCGCTGATGGCATCGTCGAGAAATTAGATCTTACCGGCTACTACCTATCATTACAGGACTTAGTGACACTAGGAGATTTCCTCGCAGTCGTTCCTTTCAGAGAGGTCTGTCTGGAAAACTGCGATCTAACGGACGAAGGTGTGCGTGTCATCTTGGCTGGCCTTCTCGCAGCGAGAAAACCGAATATCAAGCATCGCAAACCAACGACCAAATCGGACGAGTCAATACCGCAGGGTGGCGTTGTCGAGCGACTCACACTCAAGAACAACAAGATTGGCGTCGACGGATGGAAGCATATCTGTTTGTTCATCCACATGTGTCGTTCTATCAAATGTTTAGACCTCTCAAGCTTACCGTTTCCTACGACCATCGAGCCTGTCAAAGCACCTCATCATCATCTTGGCCATCACGGACATAGCGTGCCTGCATCTTTCGACGTATCATCACTCCTATCAAAATGTCTCACAGACCGTCTGGCTGGTCCGGAACTCGAGCTACTTAACTTGAGTGCTACAGGAATGACTTCAACCCAGCTTAAATGCATTGTTGATGGGCTTCTGAAATCAGGAGTGTCGAGATTAGGGCTGTCACATATCAACCTCGATGCTGTTGGGGCGGAACATGTGGCGACGTATCTACGTAGTGGCCAATGCGAGGGCATAGACCTTGGTGGAAATAACCTCAGAGACCATCTCGAAATGATAGCCAGCGCTATTGCCAATAACGAAGAACTATGGGCACTTAGTCTTGCTAATTGCAATCTGGACCCTGCATCCTTAAATAAGCTCCTACCGAAGTTATCGAGGCTCACCAACCTGAAATTCTTTGATCTTTCACATAACCATGCTCTCTTTGAATCAGAGCCCAGTGCTATCTCGCTACTTCGCCGGTAAGTTTCTCTAAGATATGATAGCTTTAACCATTACTAACTCATTACCACAAGATATCTCCCTAACTTGGATAGCCTGAGAAGGCTGCATCTTGCTGATGTCTCCTTATCTTCAGAGCAAGTGATCGCTCTAGCTGAGGTATTGCCAGAAGTCAAATCACTCGCCCATATCAACATCCTTGAAAATCCGGATTTAGTTCGCCTCGCAGATGCCAGGACAGAGGATATGCAAGAAGAAGCGTGCGCATTGTATGCTTCGTTATTGGCTGCGGTTCGTGTATCCAAGACATTAGTCAAGGTTGACATCGACGACCCGAGTCCGGAGTCTGGAGAGCTTGTCAAGGCATTGGCCAACCGTGTAGTGGTTTATACTATGCGGAATCTTCAGGGAGTTCCCGATATTCGAGATTCGCCTACCAACGATTCGGCCCCGAAACTTGAGAAGTATCCCGATGTTCTGCGCCATATTGTAGGCCATGAAGAAGATTATCCTATCGTGTCCAAAGACGATGACTCCGAATTGGCGCCAGACGAGGATTACGTCATCGGTGGTACTGGAGTCGCTAAGGCCCTTGCTTGTGTCTTGAAGAATCGGGGTAATGACTCAGGGCAACAGTCTGGCGAGTACACGCGAGAGCTCGAGGACGGAGCTACGACAACTCGAGCACATCTACCAGCTGGAAAGGCCAAGGATATGTCCAAGCATTTGCTTTCAACTGCGCGAAAAATCCGAGCACGCCTACAGCCTGCCTTAGTCAGTGCTAAGGCGTATGCTAACCAGGATTTAGGCAATTACCGTGAGTGCAATACATTTTCTCCAAGTATCATACCATTTTACTAATCATTCCTCAGATCGCTTGGTTTTCCTTGATCAGACCATTGAGGGCATCATCAACCGGTTTGAAGACGAATTTCCGGACACGCGACAGTCAGATGATCCAAACGGAGCCCCGTCTGATCTCAGTTCAACGGCTCTAGAGTCGGGAGCCACTTCGGAACCCCCTGATGTCGATACTTGCGCTCTATCCGACACCGAGGATATCGAAACAGCATTACGCTCTCCCATACGCTCACGTTCTAACTCTATCATTTCTCACACATCTAGAGCCTTCTCGGAGGAGGAAGGTCGTGCGCTCCGCGTCGGACACAAATTCCGTCGTAGCTTCATGTCGCAAAAAGAATTTTATATGCTGAATAGCGACAAGCAGATCAGTAGCAATCCACACCACGTGAAATTAGTCACGAGTCTGATGGAAGATCTCATGGAAGACTACGAAGATGTTCGAAAACGTGTTGAAGAGAAAGGTATCGTCAAAGCATTTGAAGAAGACAGGGATAATATTTGGAAACTTCTACGAGAGAAAGATCCTGCTTACTGGGACGTGTTCCTCGAGAGTCAGGAGAAAGCACGGGCAAATATTAAGGTTGAGTCAAATGGGGTTAAGGCTGACCTTCCACACGAGGGCACGGCTATAGATGAGGAGGCTGTTGCGGACTAGGTAGAAGTATTTGCCGGCAACGCTGGAGGGCCGACCGTTATCACCACTCGTGCAATGGATCCTCAACAGCATCATTTCAAGTATACTAGAGGGCTGTATATGGTCTCTAAGGAAGAGTTGGGTATCCCAAGCCAAAAAAACACATCATATCCTACAATCATCTAGTCAAAAGAACACATCAAAGAAAAAAAGATTCAAATACCCAAAGTCGGGACACGTCGCTATTACCTCTACCGGATGTACGCATTAATCAAAACTTAGAAGCATGGGTGTACGGCGTCGATATTACTCTCTTTCTATATCACTTCTCACCTCGATTCCAAGCACAAACGGACAGGAATGAATTAAGGCTGCGCGGTATGCATACAGGTCTGTGTTGAGCGCGGCGTTTTATTTGTGGCGTTGGAACTGGGCTTGTCAGGATATATGGTGGCAGGCGATCATAGCATACATACCTATATATACTATTACTTTTACTACGACGACTTTGCGTAACTCCACCTACGTAACTTTTTGACTCTAAATCCACGAGATGACGATGTCAAGAATTATTGACTCCTTGTTCGTCGAATTGATGTTCTTTGTATGTGCTTTGATGTGATATGTAAAGAGATGGCTTTTTTTTTCTTGTTCTTGGTGCTTCGCCTGAAACATGTGGTTCAGGAGAGGTATGGCTGCCGCAGATGCATCTGGCAACGTGCGATTGTTTCAAATCAATCAATGTAGACGAATGGATCGTACCTTGTTGATGAGAGCAAGATATGAAGAGGGGTATACATGCATGCAGAGACAAATGTTATAATATGACGTTATGGATGAAGACAAGACAATATACGGACCTAAGAACATACATAAGCAACAAAGTGGTATATTCGCAACACGCTCGGCAAGATCGACAGCTAAACGGCCTTGTTATGTATGTACCTACGTAATTACCCAGGGACCTAGGCAACCTTTCCTTTCCTTTCCTTTCCTTTGCAAACCCAGCGCTGCAAGATACGTAGGTAGCGAAGTCCTCAAGACTTCCCTTTCCTACCTATAACTAAACCGTGAAATCTCCAAACGGGGTATAAACAAATGTTCCAGCCCTCCATTATATGAACAATGAATAAACTATTGCCCAGCAAAAAATTTTCCAAAAGAGAAAATCCAAAGTCCCGATAGACATAATACATCGCTCTCGTCTCCTTGGAAATAGAGACGCTTTTTAGCTTTTGAATTTGGTATAATAGTAATGATGATGTTAAAAATTGATGCCAGATCCGATCCTAGCCCGTAGCCCAAGCGCCAAACCCGCACACGCAAAGAGGAAATTCCAGAAGAGGAAAATATTTATTTCCTTTAAGCATATTCCCTCCTCGGATCCAAGGGGCTGATGGCATTATCGGTGAGCGCGCATCTGCCGAGCTGCGTCGCGGTCGCTTCCTCCACGACGCCCCACGTGACGGGACCGAGCCAGAACTCGCCCTGGCGGGAGGCCTGGCAGCGCGCGGAGATCAGGGCGCTGCATACGCCTCCTGTCAATACGAGGGGGTTACCGTTGCGCGCGTCGTTGTCCACGAGGGGCGTGCGGCGGAAGCCGAGGGCGAGGATCGAGAATAAGACCACGGCTAGAAGGACGATGAGGATCAGGAGGGCTTGCGTGTTGAATGCTACGTTTGGGGCTAGGGTGGCTGAGGAGGAGGTGCTGGTGACGATGGGGAAGACGGCTTGGCTGAGGACGAAGCCTAGCGCTGCGAAGGTCGCAAGGAGAAACCACGAGACGGGACGCGGGAGGGATAGGTACAGGCTTGCGGTCTGTGTGCCTTGGGGGTTGGAGGAGACGCGCAGGGAGCGGGGGCCTAGGGCGAAGAGAGAGAGCTCGTGGGATAGGAAGAATGTTGTTAGGAGAGCGTTGGTGGATAGGTAGAGCGTGCTTAGGAGGAGCTGGGGCAGGGCCGTGACGAATGCCAGCTGGGTGATTTCCACGGGCGCCGGGAACGCGAACGTCGTCTCTGGCGTTGTCGTCCCAAAGGGCGTGGTGATGCCCCCGCTGGATGCGCGCGCCATTAGCGCGATGGCTACTGCCGTTGGCCCTGCGACTAGGAGCCAAGAGAGGATGGTGAGGATCCAGCGGGTCAGCGAGGGCGCCTCGAGCCAGAAGTGGCTTCGCGGCGTGTATTGCTTGGTTACGTCTTCGTCCCAGTGGCCTTGGTGGAGGTCTGCCTTGGTTAAGAGGGACGCATTGGTCGTCATTGGGTCCGGCACGCGGAGGAACGAGCGGATGGCATCGCCGAGTGTAGCGAGGGGTTCAAAGCTCGAGCGGGCTAGGATGACAGCCATGGTGACGACTAGTATGATGTTGAGAAGTGCTACGATGACGAGCATGGCGCTGCTGACATTGACGGCACATTCGTCTTGTGAGGTCTGGGTGAAGAAAATTACTGCATTATAACTAGATGCTGGTCGTTAGTCCGGGGGTTCTAGTGATTCGGTCAGCAAGTAGTTTATGACTTACATTACTTGGAGGGCGATGGCGACAACTATTATTACCGCTGCTAATCCGGCTCGAAATCCTGAAACGTGGAGGAAATTGCGTAGTGAGCACATTCCGATATCGAGCCATTGTTTTCGGTCGTGTGCCTCGGCTACTTCGCGTCTCGTGGGACTCGTAAGGATCTGGAAAACGTAGTTTGCTCCGGCGAGGAGAACGACGGTGAACACGTTGATAACAACATGTACCCCTATATTGATCCTAGTCGCTGTCGAGCAATTACCCGAGAAGATCGCCAACTGCCCCGAGAACTCTTTCGTCCTTGTAATCACTAATATCAAACTGATTATGCCGACAATCAATATTATGATTGCCAACAGTGTGTTGTATACGATGCCGCCTCGCCATCCCGTAAAATGCCTTCGTAAATCGCTCCCATGACTACTTCCACTAAGACCACCTCCACTCGAAGTGAAGTGGTTGCTTAATTCCACGAGATGAGAGGTTAATGTGTCTCGGCGAGGGGGCGTGATCGTAACTTGGCGTTCGCCCCATTGCCTCGCTTCCTTTTTTCTAGCCAAGCTTTCGGGCGTCTCCCCCCTCATGAAGTTGATCACATAGTCGGGAACAAGACTTTGATCAATGCTGGCCGTATCATCAAGTGATCGAAGAATACTCCGTGAGTTCCAGGTACTAGAGCGAAGCCTTCCCAACCGACTCGACCTCGTTGTCGAGGCGGCCTCTGAGGTACCCCGGTGATGAAATGGCCACATCAACGTCGATTTGGTGCTCCTCGATGCAAGACCTGACCTCGAGGTCGTGTACTCGGTGAGTTCTTGGATACTATCGCGGGTTAGATCACACAGCAGAGAGACATGAGCCAATCGGGCTTCCAATTACCTTGACATCCGCTCGACATTCCGTATGCCCCCCTCATCATCATATGTATATCTGTACGAGTTCCTCCCATTATTCCTGGGCGGGATTATAATCTGATCCATCCTTTTCTGTGTGTAGCGTGCTACTCTATTTATTTAATTGGGGTATTATTAAGACATAAAATTCGAAGGGAAGCTAAGCTTCTAGCGAGCGTAAGAAGAGAACGAAGGTGAAATGAACGATATGTTGCACCGCAAACGAACGAGAAGCGAAGGAAAAGAGAGATCCCCGTTGGGATTGATTCTCGTTGGCCGCCGGGGCCTCGCCGGGTCTTGTAGTATATGGCAGCACAACATGAGACGGCGCCCGACGTTCCACGTCCCCCGTCCGCTCCATTAATCCAGGGTTGGTTCATTCATTTACTAGCGAAGGACAGGATAGGAGGACTCGGCAGGACTACTGAGTAATAGAGAGAGCCAGTCGGGATATCCCTGCTTAGCCGCATCATACAGACCGGGGTGAGACCAGGGTGCGACCAGGGTATGCTAAACATCTTTCATGCAACGCTTTGACGGACGATCATGAAACGCGCTTGCTTTTTATTGGTTTAAGTCGTACATCGTTCGATGTGCCGGGTGACAAGACTCTTCCATCTCGGTTGCATAACGAATAATAATCATCGCAGAACCTGTTATTGCAGTGACTACCCACTACACATGGTAGACAACAGGCAATATGGCTGTAAGAGTATGCACAATTGGAATCTCAATCGAAAGGCCGGGCGATGTCAGGTTTCATTTGCAGAGCTGAAAAGAGAAAGGAAGGCTGAAAGAAGATAGCTATGAGCCGCAAGGGTGCAGCGAATGGTCGATTTATCGCTATTGTCGTGGTACTGTACGACATGACAATGTGTCGTGGTGTAGGATCCACGTATGTTCGTTCCCGTTCGGTCCCTACACAACACTACTTACACTGCCTATTCAGTAAGCAGCACCTATAATGGCTACTACTATAAGTGTGGATGTGACCATGACCTCAGTCGCGTACCTGGTTTTCGGCGAGCATCACCATGGGTAGTGCACAGTAGTGTACTAAGTATGTCATAGACGGCAGTAGGACCTCGTATGTTTATATAGGCTCGATAGGTAGTCGAGAGTACAGTAGTGTAAGGGAATAAGCGAGGCAGCACGAGTGGGCAGCGCGGGTGGCGCAGACCATCATTCATGCGAAAAAGGCGTTCTGTTATACCTGGTTCCAGAAGCCCGGGTCATCTTCCGGATTCCTTCCAGCACATCGAATGAATACCACATTTTGCACGAATAGCGTGACGTAGAGTGCACACTTAACATATCTGTAGTATAACCGCCGTCATCGAGACGGGCTGTAGGAGCACGATGAGCGTGATCTCTCGCTGCAGTGTACACCATACTCCGACTAGGTATACCAATTGTATAGATGAGTCCGCGATGTAGTCACTTGGCATCGAGCTTCTCATCTTTCGTGAGACGACTAGGAGAGAAAAGGAGATGAGAGGAGGGGAAGGGAGGAAGAGCCCTTGTTCGATACTCAGCGGCCCCGCTCATCGCGCTCTGTAAGTAAGTACTCACTTTGTAGTACCTAGACTAGGTGTTGTTGCGATTCTCACAATCCTGTCAACGGTCACGTTGTGTTGCCTAGCCAAAGAGCTGTAAATTTGTAGATCATCAGGGAAGCAATATGCGATCGAACAATAGGCTATTTGAATGGTCCTCCTTCAGGATCGCGAAAACAACTGTTCGCGATCGTGGAGAAATCCATCGTCGATGGCTACTGTACAAAGTAGGTACATAGTACATGATTCGGAGATAGTGACAGAGGGCAAAGCTTGGCAGCGTTTCAGAAGCTGTCGGTAGCCCCAACTCCACAGCCCCGAGATGCAACTCTATTTCCGACGACCAGCTGTCCTAGATGGACAATTCACTTGGTGGCAGTTGGTTTATTCTCGCTAAAGCCTGTCGATTGTGTTATCTTACCTAATTAGCTGCGTTAACTTACGATTGAATAACCACACAGATTGGGCATGTCCTCAATTCGCAGATACAGTTAGGGTGCCATGACCAGGTAGGCATAGAGTGGTACTGAGTGGTTTATATGATAATTTGCTTTTGGCTCACGTGGTACCTATATTGCCGCTTATCTTCGAAGAAGTTTGACTTCATGGCTACTCTAGTTCCCTGGCTACTTGCCATCACTTCAGAAGATACTGAGTAGGTATAGGTCTTGGTACTGCCCAGGATGTCTGTTGAGTCCTGGAAGCTAGATTGTTCCTCGGTTGCAACTGCTGCCACATTGCAGCTCGGCTGGCCGCATTGGTTATTAGGCATTGCAAGTTGGGCTATGTTGGCAATCCACCCTACATATCACCCCATATATGGAAGCTTCCATTGGAATAGGCAATCAAGCGCCCACTGTCTGTGCGGTATCATTCGCATGCCGATAGCATCAGTGCTCCTGGATGATCGGAGAAATAAGATGGAGCCTACAATAACGTATACTATGTATGCCGGGGGTAATCGAGGGGCGGCAGGGGTTCGCTCGAGTCTGGCAGTGGCTGTGAATGACATGTGCTCGAGAGACTGCACTGGGTTCTCTGGACAAATTCGTGACGAAAATGAAGAGTACGGGTTATTGCAGGCTGTGCTACAGCGAGCCTCGCGATGGAAGCATATTCATTTGCACTTGCACTAACCCCTCGAATAGGATAACCGTCTTGCTCTTCTAGAGAGACATGTATCAGGCATGTAAATTTTGTGTGCCTCATTACTGAGTTCTTCCAAAGTAGTGGGCTTGAAAAAAACATTACAGTCTTTTTTCTTCACCATCAGAGTGTTTCAGACAACTAAACTTTTGGGAATCGACATATCCGTCTTCATGGCTGAAGCCGTGGGTTTAGCACTTGGTGTGGTTGGCCTACTTGGCACCTTCAAGAACTGCGTTGACATTTTCTCATTTTTCTCATCTTACAATTCTTTCGGCCGTGATCGTGACAGTATTGAGACAAAGCTAATTTTGCAGCAAGCGCTTCTTCTCCAATGGGCCAAACACGTACGTCTCACCTATCCAGATTACGACAAGCGACTAGACGCTATAGACACCCAATCGGCAATATCTCGAGCTCTGCAGGCGATTCGGCATCTGTTGAATGAAATAAGTCTCTTAAAGCAACGTTACGAAGTAAAAGTAATAAGCTCATCACTTAGCTCTAGTTCACCAGATCTCCAATCACGTGTAGGCCGTGTTGCTTCATCTTATATGCAACAGTTCAATCGCGACTTCGATAAACTAAAGGTCGACGTTGCAGAGAAATGGAAGATGGCCTCAGTGTCGAAGAAGATGCTTTGGATCATTTCAGACAAGGAGAAGTTTGAAAAGCTTGTGCTAGAGCTCTCCGGCTTCATATCTGACCTATACCAGTTGGTGCCCGAGACGGACCATATAAGTCAGCAGAGCAATATCATGTTGTCAGGAAAAGACGACATGCCACAGCTGAAAGATACAAAAACCCTGGCTCTGATATATGATTCAACAGTCGAGGGTAAGAAACACATGGCAGTGGCTGCTGCACAATTGTTAAGTGACCTGCATGTGCAAGACATTCTGGATGCTATATGGTTTCGCAGCCTGGATCACAGGAGGTACGCTGTCAAAGAAGCACATCAAGAAACATTTCACTGGGCTCTAGAACGTCCGGAAGACTCTAGAAGTCGGAATGAAAGAGTCAAGTGGGATGACTTACCCTCTTGGCTGGAGTCTGGGAATGGACTATACTGGATTTCAGGAAAGGCGGGTAGCGGCAAATCTACATTGATGAAGTACCTATGTCAGCATCACAGGACGGTCGAGCTTCTGTCAAAATGGGCAGGTGCAATCCCACTGACTGTTGGATCATTCTTTATCTGGAACTTTGGTACAGCTGAGCAAAAGTCTTTGGCCGGCTTATCAAGAGCCATTCTATACCAGATCTTGAATGTGCAGCGTCATCTGGTGCCTGAACTGATGCCTGCGATGTGGCAAGACGTCCGACGGCGGGGCAGTGGAAATCGTGAACCGCCCACGGATGTCGAACTGAAGTCTGCTATGCAGAAACTATCTTCTCGCGAAGACCTGGACGGTTCGTTTTGCTTCTTCATAGATGGCCTCGACGAGTTCAGTGATAATCACTCTGAAGGAGCTGATTTACTGCGGAGAATCTCTCGGAACTCAAAGATGAAGGTCGTTGTATCTAGTAGACCAATCCCATCGTGCGTATTCGAATTCGCTGAATACCCCAATCTTCGACTTCAGGACCTCACACAAGGCGACATCACTAGTTATATCCAATCCACCGTTGGCTTCCATTCTTACATGCAGAACCTAGGCGTCTCAGATCCTACCGGCACAGCATCTATAATAGACGAACTGATCAATAAAGCATCTGGCGTCTTCTTGTGGGTCGTCTTAGCATGTCGATCAGTCATCGAAGGCTTTGCTGCGTGCGACAATATTCAGGAGCTCAAACAACGCGTGAACGAGTTGCCACCAGAGCTGGAAGACCTCTTTATATTCATGTTAAACCGAGTCGAGCCACGGTATCACGATCAAATGGCGAAGATGTTGAAGGTCTGTTACCAACAACACGCCCTCTATAAACGACCGATATATACGCTTGCGTGGGCAATGATAGATAATTTCGGTCTGAGTTTCGAGAGAACCAGACTATTCCAAGTGCCAATGCAAGAAGAGCGGCGTGCAATATGCGCGCCGACGGAAGGGCGACTCCGTAGTCGATGCGGCGGACTTCTAGAAATCCAAAAGCAGGTGCACTGTGACCATTGCCTGTGTGAATCAACAGACAAACATGATTCCGAGGTCGATTCTACTGTCATATTCATACACCGAGCTTTGTTTGAATTCCTGGACAAACCAGAAACTTGGAGACACAAGTGCCTTCATATCGAGGACGCCGCATTCAATGCAAATGCCGTCATAACAATTATGTGTTTACAGCTAGTTCTCATAGTCATACAAGACAGGCCGAAGCCCAAGCAAAGCCCGCATGTTTCTGACCCAATCAAATTGGCTGTGAGCGATGCATATGACTCTGACAACGCAATGGGAGACGAAGATTCGATTGTTCTATCGAGACTCGAAGAGGCTATAACAACCTTATTGCAGTCCACCCAAAGGATTCAACGGCCACATATAACACCACTCATCCTGGCCATCGAGATGAGTTTGTACAACTGCATCAAGTATTTACTTAATCGCTACCGTGCCGCCCACACTGGATTTCCCCTATTATATTATGCTATCTGCCGTCCATTCCACCTAGAACTATGGAAATTTAAAGGACCTAGGCTCCCACATCATTACAATATCATCCAGCTCCTCCTATGTGAAGGGTGCCAGCCGAACGAGCCTTACATAGACGACGAGGGATTGCAAACAACACCATGGAGACGTTGGCTACAGGAAAAAGTTGATCGGCCTACCCTTGATGGATATTTCGAAACCACTGCAGTTTTCATCAAAAGCGGCGCAAGCCTTAGCTCCCAGAACTTACGGCTAGTTGATGAAGTTTGTAAACAATTGCGAGACTACGAGGTGAAATATAATTTCTTTGTCAATCAGTACAGCGCACAAGGGTTTCTAGCCCTTTTTGAAAATGTGAGAGAAAGCTCGGGAAACGAGACGCAGGTCTCACGAATCTCATATGCTTAGGGAGCAAAGAAGGAACGACGAAGTCTCGCAAGATGAGTTTCTTTCTATTCCTACATGCACGAGCGACAATTGAGCCCTGTATTCAAAAGTTTCCTATTGTATCGGCAATATCTCTTAATCAACTCAGGCCCAATGTTAAAACCATTTTCAGACTATGATTTCCATTGTGATTGTTAGAGTTGTAGCTGTCCGACTGATGAGCTCAAGCTCAAGAGAACCTCAGGTTGTCTGACTCGATACGATGAATAGCAATAGCGCAGCACGCTACCTAGACAACCTATAACGGCTATCAAAGCCCGCTTTCTCAACGACTCTAGTGGAGTAATCCTGTCTGGGTGCTTCATTGTATCAATTGTGCTGTATCGAACTCGGCCCTGGGGTGCGCGGAACTATAACGGCACGGTATCTCGAAGTTTCCGGCTATCTACCTTGAATATTGAGCTCATAGTACTTACAATCGTTGCTCCATAGTGCCACTTGGACACGGGACACTGTGCACGTGATGTTGGGATACGAACAGGTCTCTTTATAGTAATTGAGCCACACACTTAAGCACGTAAATAGATGCAAATTGTTGATGTTGAGAGTTTGTGGCGAGGTAGTATAGCCCATTACCACGATTGTAATCGAGGCTCTAGATGTAGGTACACGCACGAATTACTCGCTACTGCTCATAATGACACAATGCGATACCTAAGATACAGCGATGAAACATCATATCAGGCGCATAGGTACAAGTGTTGTGCCTGCATAGGGAATCTATGTAGGTAGATAATTAAGTCAACTATGCTTCTCCCATTTGACATACGGTAAACAAACAACTCATGTCGAGGTCGCGGACAAGCCACCTGTGCTGCTTTTCGCGCATGAGTGAGTCATATGCATACCACGATCACGCATGATAGGTGGCAGGCCATCGCGACATGTTTGGTCATAAGTAGTTATACTAAGGTGCTATTCGGTGTTGATAATGAATCCAGAGACGCAGCTTGACAATCCAATCGCATCCAACATCACAAAGCCCAAGACTCAGAACTCGTTTTAGGCAACAATTCCAAAGTACAACAGGGCCAAGCCCTAAGCAACCACCTCTCACCTCCACGTCCTAGCGACAGTCGACTCTTCTTCACATCCACAGACAAGCTGCAGATTGCAATGAAAAGTGGTAAAGAGGGTTTGCGTCGCCTGGAGGCAGTGTAATACCAGGGACACGGTGGGAGCGATCATGCGCAAGCACAGAGGACGCGCTCCCGGGAGAGAAAAATTAGAATAATCACGATTGAGTCCAAGTAGGACTCTTTCAGAGATTAAACTGAAAAGAACAGATACTACACTTGATCTAAGCCAAAAGGCAAAGAGAGCTGAAGAAGAAAAGAAGAAAAGTCCAAAGTCTGGGGGGCAGAGCGGGCATTTATAGATGTCTGGAGGGGAGCCTAGGGCGGTGGGACACGGCAGTAAATTGACTGTTTGCTCATTGCGAGTGGTCTGTGCGTGGCACCTTCCACATCATTGTAGCCAATAGGAGGCAGGTACGTAGATACTTAGCAATGGGCACAAACATGTAGAAATGTTTAATACCTAGAGCCTTCATTAGCAATGAGATACACTCAGAGGTCTCGCTTCGAAGATACCTATATAATCGCTTGCCTACCTAGGTCAGTAGATATTCACCTTTAACAGCTAGGCAGGGATCCATATCCTCTTGTACATTATACAGAATGATAGCATTTATGCCTCTATGAATACCTACTAGCTATGATACAGTTTCGTGAAAATACTGAATATGCCGCTATCAAAGTATTTATCATGTCATTTACTCCAGGTCAGTCGAACCTTAGTGCTAGACATACAATGTGAACTACATTGGAAGGCTCTGTAAGAGATATGGCAATGAGGTGAATCCGCTATCCTGAAAAGATAAAGCTTGTTTTCATTTATGAGATGACTCCCCGAGTGCGCGAGTTCGAGATGTACAACCAGAAATTACGGGACTAGTAGAATACAGTCAACACACAACGATTCTTCGTATATCACCGCTTACAACAAGGGGGTGATGGTAGATGTTGAAGTTGAAGCTATTCACAATACTAGTGAAGTCCACATAGACCACTTGGGATCCCATCCTTTGGACGTTGGCGGCTTCCAGTAAGTCTAGAAAAGGGAGGGCTGAATAGCTTTCTACTTGGATATGAATGCGCTAGGCGTTTACAATGCAACAGAAACAAAACATAACAAACAAGGTAGAAGTAAAACGTGAAGCCAAATAACCGGATGGGAATTGAACCCATGACTTACCGATTACTCTACCACCGAGCTACTGAATTTCTTAGATGCGGATGGCTTCGATTTGTTTTATTATGCCGCAATTGAAAATTATATCTTTATTAGCTCGTAGAGAGTCCTCCTATTACACAGCGTTTCGAGAATTCCCCATCCCACTCGTTGAGGATATCTTCGGCTACAGTAAAAATGGATGATATTGAATAGGTACCATTGAGAGTATTTTGTGAATGACTCTGTTTAGATTGTGAGGCATGTCCGGTCCAGTAGCTAGATGAGATATATCTGCTATTTAATCGTGATCATATCTCCCCAACTAGCCAGGAGTGCTTGGTAGCGGTAAGATAGCTAAACTCGGCATTCCCGTAGGAGAAGAAACCATTTCATAGACACCATGTATATGTACAGTTGACTCTCCTATAGAACTGTTCAAGAGTGTACAAGACTCGACGCTGTTTCTTGACGTTGACTACATTTCATCATCAAGACTCCTCGGATTGGAGCCAGTCTATTTCTACATGATAGTACTACACATAGTATATAGATTTATACATCTAGCGTCCTAAAGGTGGGTGCTGATGTCTCCTCAGTGGAGGCGGCGACAAGAAACTGCGAAGACGAGCATTGGCCGTTTCAGCCATTTCGGGAATTTTTTCAGTTTTGGGAGGGTTATAGACCTCTTCAATCCTCTCCGCGCCGTTGACCAAGGTACCCTCCTCTTCCTTCTTTTGATCGAGCAGCAGGGCTTGCTGCCTTGACTCCTCCAGGAACTGTCGTCGCTCCTCTGTCAGCCGCCATTCCTTAGGGAACTTGGGCTTTACTTTAAATGTGTGGTGCCTCGTGTCGAGAGGTACATCTTCGAACATGTCCGTAGGGTCCTGGAGTCGTTCGGTTAATAAGTTGATTGGTGGGTCACGACGTATATTTGCACATATAGACTTACCTTTGCCTGTGCCACAAGCTTGTTGACAACGTCACCGAGGTACCTCTTATTCTGCGCCTGGTGTTCAAACTGTTCACAGCTCATCTTCGCAATGTCGGTCTCAGGATTCAACCGCGGGCCCAGCAGTTTCCTGAGCTTCTGTTGCTGCGCCTCAGTCAAAGGCATATCTCTTGGAGAGAATTCCACCACGACCTTTTTCTCTGCAGGATGAAATTCTCCCATATAGCTGGTATAACGGAATCGCAATGGTTCTTGGGCGGTCGGTGGTTCGAAAGGAGTCGCTAACTCTGCAAGCATTATGAGCAACTAGGAGATCATAGAAGCGTAAGCGAGGCCCTTACTGGAGAGAAGAGGCATCTGCCACGCAGCGATACGGGCATACTCGCGGTATTCGCGGAATTCCTCGAATTTGCCATGTGCCATAGCCATGATATCATCCTCGTCGAATTTGTCGACATCTAGTTCGTCGTCGATAAGGTCTTGATCAGGTTCTTCCTCAGCCCAGAATAGTTTGCCCTGGAGCCTCGGGAGTCGCATGGCTTCAGTCATTACTTCACCCATGTTGTTGGCGGCACGCTCCGCGGCGGTGGTGGCATTTTGGAAACCCCTGTCTCGTGCAAGTTCTGAGAGGGCGCGTTCATATTCAACAGGGTCAATCTCGTCCGCCTCATCTATTTCTTGTATCTCCCTCTCCAGCTCGTTTATATCGTCCTCATCCTTCCGAGTCGCAGGTTGACGCTGGAAAGGAGTCGAGGAAAAGGTGCGAACGGCGAGGTACTGCCGGCGTGGTGTGGCAGTGGCTGGTGCGGCAGCTCGCCGGCGTGCGGCACGTAGACAGAGTCGCACCGATTGCACTGCAGAAGCCATGCTGCGTCAATGGTCTCTGTGTGCAATCGTACAGACGATAAATCGAGGCTCAATCCGGTATTCCCCTCGCTGCGAGGCACAACTTGAAGTTCGAGTGTTGGCGCAGACAAAATTTAGTGGAGATGGGGAAGAAGGAAAAATAAAATCTGATTGGCTGAGGCGCTATCCTATCAGTAACTGCCCTAATTCTTGGCGGCATGGGCTGCTGGCGCTCAACGTCCAAGTTTCTAAGCTTGCTACTAATTAGTAATGGTACAATAGCTTCATACAGTAGCTTCAATACCTTACGAAGATCGTCAATTTCGCAAATCGTGATGCGCTCGACTAGAGGCGATATCGGTGTATTTCCTTAATAATCTCCATCTCTGGCCGCACGAATTATAGCAGAGATTAGAACACATCATCTCGGACTGAGGCAGTATTGGGAAAGTCAAGCAAACGACTAAATTGACGGTTAAACTGACTGGCTAGCTTCAGCCCTGCCCCTTCTCAAAAAGCTCAGGACAGCCTGCATCCCAAATCATCATACAACATGCCGGGAATTCACTCGCAAAGATCACGTAATAGAGTCTCACGAGCCGCATTTGTGACCATCGGTGCCACTGCCGGTTTTCGGGGCCTTCTTCAAGAAGTAGTCTCTCCTAAATTCCTCACGACACTCCAGTCCCGCAATTTCACGGACCTCATCGTCCAATGCGGCCCTGATCTGGATTATTTCCTAACCATTACGCCAGATAATAGCCAAGAGTCGTATGGCATAGAAATTACCGCCTTTTCCTATGCCCCCGATCTCAACAAGTATTTTGCACTAGCTTCCCGTGGCGAATATGGCAACAGTAATAGCCAACGAGACCGTGGAGTGATTATCTCGCATGCAGGTCCGTTCCAACCTCCTACAATTGTCGGCGTTGAAGTAGCTCACTCTTTACGCTAGGATCTGGTAGCATCATTGGAGCACTTGAGTTCGACTCAAAGCTGATCGCCGTTCCAAATCCTGAGCTTATGGACAACCACCAACTTGAGATTGCCGAAGAAATGGAATTGCAAGGCTTTCTTATACACGGAACACTTGGGTATGGTATTCTCAGCAATCATTTATTTCACTTGTCTGCATATTAACAGGTATGCCGTGTAGGTCAGTCGCAGAGGCCATTAAGAAGATTGATATAACCGACCTACGGAAGTGGCCACCTGGACCATCGCCTGGATCCGCCTATCAAAAGGGAGGGCTCTGGGAAGCTATCAACGAACTAATGCCGTAGTCATACTGAGTCTAAGCTCATGTTATCGTGAGCCCAATCATGGTAACAAGGCGCGATAAGGCGCGATAGTGCCCTGGGCATTTGAACGGAAGTCTGGGGTGTCGGACTTCCAATTTCCGGAGTCATCATTCCATATTGACTGGGTTTTGTGGCGTTTGGTGTTGCAGTACAGTAGGGATATACCCAGAGTCACTAAACTGGTGCTTTTATATCAGCTAAGGTAGTCTAACAACAGCGGTGTGGATTTGACATACCTAGCTGTGGTGTTTGCTTTAGCTTTCAGCTCTCAGCTCACATTGTTCATACTTGACAATCTTCCAGACCATAATCGCATGAAACAAGAGGGCCCATTATCTTGGGTATGTAATCCCAGTAACTCCCGAGGTTTCTAGCGTTCTGATTCCAATTGAGCATCACTTATATTTAAGTCTAGCATGGTTCAATCTCAACAGACAAGTCAACCTGTGGAATTGGCAGAACGGATCTCTGGGAAGCCTAGGTATGCCAACACCCATCCATCGTTCATATGCCTAGGTTACCGGTACCCCAATTCTCGTCAGCCGGCGATACTACTGTAGGGTTGGGGTACTGTGGTAGTATTACCTAATCCCCGCGTGGCAGCTACACCTGTTACCTAACCGGAACTAATAACTGCGACACTACCTACCCCACAAGTTGCCGCCGTCTCCTTACTTATAGTGGTCTCTTCTTACGAGCTGCGAATGAAGTGGTTAGAGTAGGGAGAAGTAGGACCAAAACCTGACACGACTGACGGGTCTGTGACGGTGGAGATGCCTAGGTAGATACCGTATAGTAGAGGGGACAGGTTCGTACCGTGTCTCGCGTGGGAGGCAGTGCAGTACTTACATAGGTATAAATATGTACCGTAGTAGGTACTGTAGATAGACTAAAGAGTGTGCCCAGGTGTGATGTGATGTATGCAGTCATTCATCTATTATGCGACGGGGGCCGACCCATCCTTCGCTCCATGGCTCTGCTCCATGCGACGCCGACAGGCCGCACTTCGGGGATGCAATGCCGTGGAGCAATGCTTGCTACGTGCCTCGCTAACTCCAAGACCTCGAGCTTCTATTAATACATTTCGCGCCCAATCTCGTTGTCTCGTGGCTTTCTTTCAGTGATCTGGAGGTAAATTCCTTAATGTTCGTTTATTGGAAGCCAGAGATTATTATCATCCTTTTCCTTTTCCAGCGCAGTCCATCCATTCCAAGCAGCTCCGTGGTCGGCCTAGCCTCCCTTATCGGGGGACTCATTATCTGCAGTACTGCCTGCATACGTCAACCCGTTTCAGACATCCGAACTGCTTGATCAGCCGGCAGTGATGGCGATCATTGTAGATCTAGACGAGGAATCTGAACCTCCTCAGACACAGCCAGTAGGCGCGTATGGCGAATGGAACAATGAAAGGACCAAGCTGCAACTTCAACAAGAACTCCTCGCCGCTGTGAATACCAATGCACAAGCTCGGGACAGCTCGGTTGTCGATGACGACACCCGGGATTCCGCTGCCGATAAGGGCATGTCTGAGAATTCGAACAGGACGCGAATGACAGAGGCCCTCGCGTGTTATCCGTACGTAAATTGTTCTAGACTTCATTTCGCCATGTGTTTAAGATCTTCATTACGTCTTGTTCAAGCATTTGCGGTTATTTGAGACTTATGTACACTTTGCATTTGAAGCTGCACATGAACATCACCATGCAGAGAATCAAGCCAATCAGTAGCAAGATGCAAGATCCAACACGCATATTTACAAGAAGAAAAAAATACTACTAGCACTCGACTAACAAATTGTAAAAAATTACAGCATTGCCATAGCGATCGTAGCATGGCTTGACCTAAACTCCCTCGACAACCTCTCGAGAACATGTCGCCAGATCCGCTCAAACCTACTACAGTACCGCGGGCCCCTGGTCACGCACACGATGCACTGCTACAAGGAGCACCCCCCGCTCGAACCTGAAGACAACGAGATGAATTGGCATTATATGAGCATAAGCGAGGGTTATAGGCGCAAGGGAACCTGTGCCCGGGACCTCGTGGCCGAATGTCGGCGGTGCGCCAGGCCCGTCTGCCGTGTAAGTGAACCATCTACTATACTGACATCTCGGTCGACAATTCTAGTCGGTAGGCCATAAACAATAGGGGATAGAAGGTTTCTTAGGAGCTATTCTTCAAACATGATATGAAAATTCGACTTAAAGCTGACACGTTATTTATAATGTAGAACTGCATCATCCGGTCCCCAGGAGCATCGACCTTCCGCGAGAGACACCGCCGGCTCTGCATCCCGTGCACCAAGGCACCCCTCGCATCGCTGGCGAACCCGCCCCTGCTGCCCAGCACCTCGATCGTCGCAGATGAGATGCAGCGGGCCATCTGCACGTGCGAAAGCGATTGTGTCTGGCTCTGCCACCCATGCGGACGGAACATAATCGGCGCAGACCAAGACTACAGGTCGTACGTATCTTACTGCCTCCTCTCGTCCGACCTTACCTTACTACCTACCTATCTTTATATCAGCCCAATACACAGAGCTAACAATCCACAATAGAATCTGGCGCTGGCGGAACCAATACGGCGAAGTCCTCGGCGGCACCGGCATAGGCGAAGGCGACAGGGGCGTCATCTGCGGACGCGAAGCCGCGTGCCTAGGAGCGAGGGAAGTCGCCGAAGAAACAGACTGCGACGCAGCCGACGCGCGGGAGCAAGAGCACCAGCTCTCGCTGCACCACTACTCGGCGTCTCCGTCGTCGACGCCGTCGCCATCGTCCTCGTTCACCACGGGCTCGCCCCTGAGCAGCGCCAGCGCCAGCGAGTACAGCGTCGGGGGCCACCGCACGCCCAGCCCGCCGCACTCCGTCGGCTTCGCCGTGTCGAGCTGCGGCACCTTGCGCCCGGGCTACGCGCGCCACGAGATCGAGGGCATCGGGGGCGTCGTCAAGACCAAGCTGGTGCGGATGATGCGCGTTGGCGCCTGTGTGCCTGAGTGGGAGGACGAGCGGAACGGCGGTCGGATCCTCGAGCGCGAGGTCTCCGGGCGGAAGCGCAGTTGGTGCGGGTGGTGCTGGAGAGTCATACCTGGAGCCAAGGATGTTTCCGGGGCTAAAATGGTTGAATCGACGTGAAACGTCTATATATGCATGGGTCAAGGAAGCGGTAGGAATCTCTGGCGTTTTGTTTTATTCTTTATTATAGGTAGGTAGGTAGGTAGGTAGGTATATGGTCATTTATGGATAGGGAAATACTCAGGTAAAACATGCATTTTTCAATGGGTCGATTTCTTCTTGAATTTTTGTCTTGTATTGATTGAGTCTTATACAATGAGATTAAGTACAACCATTGGCACGTGGCCAGACATCGTGTTGCGCTGCGACATGTTTGGCGTAACAAGCTTGATATACATTTGAGAGGAAGGATTTACCTAGATTTACCTAGATATAAAACCCAAGGGCTCACCCTCTTTCGCTCTCGCTCTTGCCCCTTAGAGAGCGGTATATTCTCTATTCCATCGCCTGGGAATTTTCACGGGATATACACATTGATTCCCCCGAGCTGTCTCCGTAAATTCGCACAGCTCATCTTCTCTCCGCAGTCCGGATCCTAGAGGACTAGCATTGAGATATCGGTTCAGCCTTTGTCTCGCGCATATGAATTTAGTAGACGACTATAAAGCGCCCTGAGCCAGCAACACCTTCCTCTTCTGCCTCTCCCCTCTCGCCTTCGTCCTGACCTCGCCCCACCGCGCTTTGATAGCCTCGAGACGCTGTCGCTCCTTCTCCTTGTGCTCCGGGCTCGCCTTGCAGCACATCATGACGAAGAGCGGCCCGCACTGGAACTTCTCGGCGAGCTTGTGCACGCTCCACGTCACGGGGTCGCTGGCGCGCAGGTGCCGCATCTCCTCGACCTGCTCCCGCGTCACGTTGTACTTCTTCTCGCGGGTCTCGGTCGCGCGCGACACGGGCGGTAAGGACGACCGGCTCGCGTGCAGGTCTGTCGAGGAGCGGACGAGTTGGCTTAGATTGGCCTGCCGGCGGGGATCCGACTTGGGCAGGAATTTGAAGGGTGTGTGGTAGACGGAGGGGGCGGCGGCCGGCGGGTTGTAGATTATGTGGTTTTGCCCTGATTGCGGGGTGAGGAAATCTGGGTGCGGCGGGATCTTGAGCATCTTCTTTGTCCGCGAGGTCGTCGACTGGTGCCGTCGGCTTGCTGTTGATCTGAATGCTGGGGAGCGTGTGACGGAGGAGGTCGCGTGGGAGAGGCTGCCCAGAGGCCGCAGGACCTGCCGTGTCTCCATGATGGCGGATTGGTTGTGATTGAATGGAGACTGCGAATCCGGGAGACGAGAGAGCTGAAGGTGCGGAGGAGGATTGGAGGCGCTTCGTTGTTCCAATCGGGCTGGCTGTTATCTTCGTTTCCACCCTCCTACTCCTCGCGAATTGACCGAATGCTAGTTTCGCTGTAACCAGCTTCAATGGCAAAATTCGACGGAGACATCACGGCCCGACAAAAAGTCACGTGGGGCGATTACGGGTGGTTCCACCATAACGCTCTTAGCAGTCCGTTGCACTTTATCGATTACGGAGTAGATAGGTAATATGTGTCAATTGAGATAATTCGATTGTACGGACTGACAATCAACAACAGCATGATAAATGCGCCGACTAGGCGAATAGATTTTCTTTCTTGACCGTGAATCGAGTATGCACTGCACTTATTCAAATTGGGTTGTCACTGGTTAAACTCTTTACCATGATCTATCAGCCTGTTGAATTGGTGCGTAACTGACCGGAGGTTCTGCCACTTTTAGCTTCGTTATAAGCCAAGCACGAACATCATGTTGAATCATCCATCTCTATATCAGTCGGTTGATATGCAAGCTATCGCGCAGACAAGTCTTGTCACAACTAGGTCACATCACCCGCATGCAACGGCGCTATGGTAGTCACACACTGCCACACCGCAATGCCAACTTTCTTGGCCAGGTGTGCGTACAGATAGATACATAGTAAGTTCAGATCCAACTTCGGAAGCCCATCTTGCCTAAATGGGAAATTCAGCCCCTCGGGTGACGTCTTTATCTACCAACTGCATTGCAGAATACGGTAGGACGCTGAATGGGACGAGTCCGCGCAGAATCCGCGGTTTCATCTGGTATGCCATCGGCGCGATAAGAGTCGAGCTGACGGGTTGTCCCTTCACAAGAGCCCTTCGCTTGCTACAGTGAATCGCACGTTTCGATCGCTCATCCTCACTCATGCAGGATTGGATTGAGTGGCTGTCTCAGTCGTTCAGGTACGTGAGACAGGCATAAAGATGGACCATGGGAGCGTCCTACTATTTTATGCCAGCAAACAGCCGTACAGTCAGCACGACAAAGCCTGTGTGAGGCTATCGTGCTACCGTACAAATTGGTCTTCATGCTTAAGTTATTAGATCGCCGTATTGTTGGCCATGCATACGTAAGTCAGCTGGGCTGTACCTCCTGTGTCATATCTATTTTCAGCGCTATACCGTGGCGATATAATAGGTGTGTAATAAAGCAGGCATTCATCCATTCACATTCTTCAGGTATTCACTACACCATTGATAGTAGTCCGAGTCTACTCTGTATAAGTAGGTAGGTACACTAGTTGTTTTGTGATTTGCAAAGAAGAGATTTATGCAGCATTGTCCACTGCCACCGTCCTCCTGTACAGATCCTGTAGTAATAGTTCATGATTGCGGTTCCGCTGGTCTGTCTCGAATGGCATTCCTCTAAATGGAGCTGCCTACTTACATGCCCGAATAGGCAAGCTTCGTCAATCTCGAACAGGAACCAAGTGACCCCTCCCTCCTTGTCTGGCTCCTCTCGAAAATCAAGGCAGCAGTTCGGGGTTATACCCAACTGCAGATTGACAGGGACGCATTCTCGGTTTGTTCAGCCTAAGATGATCATGGTCGGGGTTCGGGTCGAGGGCGTTGGTTTCCAGGTCACAGTTGCCTGGGTAGAGAGTCCTATGACAATTCGCGATACTCGCGATATTCGCTTTGTTTTTCTATATTACTCACTGGTCTGCCGTTGAATAACCTGCTTGACATTGTCCTCACACAACAAATCGAGCTTTTTTTGGTTTTCTCTGCACTTGTCCACGGGCTCCCTCGTATGATGAATAAGCTGTCATCATATTGTCTGTCATTCGAACTACCACTATCTTCTTAGCTCGCCGCAGTCCAATCGCCAAAGCGCACGCCACTGTCTTCTGACCAGCCGAGTTTTCGGTGCCTACTCAGATTGTCAGTGTTTGCCGATTGTCCTTCATTATATTAGGTATAGCGCGCGGCCTAGACGATACGGCGGAAACGGGTTGTGGACTGATGACCGCATGCGCTGTGGAAGTGCCGTGATGTCCCTCTGACACAGAAACACCAAGAAGAGGTCAGTTGGTTAAACAAAAAGGCTGCATTAGCTTGCGCAGGATTACGTTGCAGTTCCGACGCCAGATTTGCATTTCCCTACTTTACTATCTTGGTACCACATACCTCACATACCTAACTCATAACTCCTACTATACGTCCTACATCCTACATACAGCCACTACCAGTGCACATTTGAAATCTGAGACCGCCTGATCTGGCCCTTCCGATCCGAGTTATATAGTAAAGCGTTTTGTTGACTACCCGATCTGACAACAACCAGATAATACCTCGGATCTGGCCACGAGTTTCCTGCCTGGTGTGACAGGTACCTCTATATATACCTAAGGTATATATATATAAGACATTGATTGGCATTTCGCGAGCGCCCCGTAGCGACCCCTCATCGCATCAAACTCGATCCGGCCTTTCACGGACCTACCCAAGGACAAGCGTCGTCACAAGGTGCGACCAGCACGGCGATAGCATTATCGTTTACTATCTTATTATCATCGCCCGGCGATCCAGACCAATCGTTAATCTACCGCATACACCGTCTCCCCCCCCTCCTCCTTCGCGACTCCTGCATGCTTGCACACTGGCTGTCTACATACCTAAGTACACACCATTTGTACGGCTGTCCGCAGGGCGAAAGCACGCTATAATCTGCTATAATCTGCTATAATCTTTGACGGCGGACTCGCGGCCTGAACCTTGCATTCGACTTGCATCAAAGCGTTTGCGCTTGCAGGCTGCATCGGACTAAACTCCACCTACATCTCCCCCTAACTCGCCGGGTACCTGCCTCTACACTACGCATAGAGGGGCTGACGAGGAGGAAGAGGAGGTTATTTTGCCTACCCGCCTACACACATACTCACTACCTACCTGCCTAGGTACTATTCAAGGTGTTGTAAGTAACCTGAGAGGAGGTAGTTTGCGCCGGTCCGAGGAAGGAGTTTCCTGACTGTAGGGAGGCATACAAGTTCAACGTCTTGTATGTTGCGTGCTGTACACTGTACACACCATACCAGGAGTGGTTTTAGAGCGACGACATAGCCGGTAGCGATAGGCTGGCGCGCGACATCATCCTTCTATCGATTCCCAATTGACGTAGGCCCTGTCTGGTCTGGTATTACCTACAAGTCTGGAATCTGCTTTCGATACAGCTTACGTACGTGCCTACCTACATTTATTGCAAAGCGAGCATCGCGAAACGGAAACCCCAAGAAAGAACCTCAAAGAGTCGCAGGAGGCCCTTCGTCAATTCCCCAACTCAAATCAGCAGTGCCCGCTACCTACTGATCATTGCACGTGTCGAAAGAACGGTGTTCGGTTGCACTTGTTCAGGCACACGCCATCCGGCTGCATCGAGGAGGTACCCAAAGGGCAGAGCGCAGTGCCCAGCGCAGAGCAGAGCAGGGAGTAACCCTTCAGTGATGTAAGTCTACCCCTTCTTTTCCTTGCCCACATGGTACCGACATCCCCATCCCTGGGCTTCGATGAGAAAGCCACCTGGGCAGCAAATGGCAACAGCCAATTTGCCGTCGATTGCGACTGCCCGCCGTTTGATCCATTCTTACTTGTAGTTGACATTTGCTTTCCTGCCTAACATTCATTTACGCCCGTTTCTTAAAGCACACTCACCACTACCACCACTCTGATTCTTTTTGGAACACCATAGCAGCATTTCCTGTCTTGCCTCTTGTTGTCTACGCCCCCGGGTGTCTTTTTGGCCGGTTTTGGAAAAAGTATAACTGTGTTTGCTGATCTTGTACTGGCACATCAGTCATATTCCCCACTCGTCCGTCTACCTTTGCGTCCAAATCGAACCTTACTTCAATCCGATCAACCATCATGAGTCTAGCACAGGCGGCTGCTATCAAGAGTGACCGTCCGTCTTCGACGCCCACCTTGACAGAATCCACCACAAAGCAACCCGAACACGAGACTGGGAAGAGTGAACAAAAGACGAAGAAAAGAGGATTGTTCGGACTTGGCAAGAAGAAGCACGAAGACAAGACGTCCACGCAGAGCAGTCCAAAAGCGGAATCGAGGCTCGCAAGCCCACCCAATACTATTAGCAGAGAGGCAACGAAACGATCCACGACGTCCCGGACACCTGTTGAGAGCCCAAAGATGATACCTTCCTCACCAGGACGGGGATTTCATTCCTCGTCCCCGCGGATGAGCTCACCAGCCGGGTCGCAAATATTCGAGCGAGACGTGCAAGAGAGTGCCATTCTACCCACTTCACCCGCTATTCCATCACATATACAAACAGAGAACCATATCCCACCAGTTCTGGATGCCTCCTCAGAAGCCATTACCGACGACCATCTCAACCCTGACTCGGTCGAGATCGTTACACACATCTCCCACCAGCCAGCCGCCGTCACTGTGGCTGGCGCGCCACTCTACGAGAGCATTTCTAGTTCGTGGACAGAAGACCTCACGGCCCTTTCGGACAGGGAAGAGTCGGCCTCCAACTACGGGTCGTTAGACTCAACTGATGTGCGGCGTCTAAGCTTCATCTCGTTTGCTGATGTCGTGCAGGCTGAGCAAGGCCCCCCTGGACTAGCTACAGGAAGCCGGGATTCAATGCATCTAGCCGGTTTGACATCGCTAGCCTCCATGGGCGTCAACCGCTCACCCTCGCCCATAAGATCACCGGTATCCTCGCAGGCACCAGAGACGTCACCGCCTAACAGCAAATCCGGGTCAATTAAAGGAATTAGCTTGTCCCCCCCAAGGAAGCCGTTGGGCAGCCCCACCTCGACGGAATACAACCTTGGCCTAACTACGGGCGAGCTGGCTATTGAGACCATGTCGCAAGCGCTGAGACGCACAGGTAGCACCGACCTCAGCGCGGCACGGAGTCATCCTATTAGTCCCATTGAGGGGCCATCACGGTGATCGTTTGCAAACCATGTGTTGTTGTTTTTCATAGGGGGCACAATGTAGTTGGCTGGAGTTGAGGTGTTGGTCCGGTTGTGTTCAAGCGGCTTTGAGGATGTCTGCATGCTATTCGACCAAATTTTTTTTTTGTGATGCATATTCTTCACAGCTGCTTGACTGCTTTCCACGGTCGAGTTTTTGTTTCGAGATACACACCATGGATACCATTCGACCGACCCGTGTTTCTGCTTCCCTATTCGCCGCCTCCTTTCCTTTGAGCTCCTCGAGAGGGATATTGAAGATGAAAGTGTCTTGCAGGCCAGTGGTTCTCGTTATTCGTTTATTTAGTCGTTTCTCGTACTTCAGCAAGCAAAGAAATCGGATGGATGGGCGGAGTTGGAAGAATAAATAGCGGTTGCGTCTTTTTTCTCTTCTTCTATTATGCTTTCTCTTCTGATTTGGTCGTATTCTGTACCCTTCATTACCGCAGCAGACTTTTCTGTTGTTGGTGAATGATTCGCTCTGTCGATGGGGATGAAAGGTGTCAGACCAAAATCAAATTGAAGAGAAGGATATTTTGAGACTGTGCTATATTTTTGCGGTACGTGTTGATAGGTTGGGGGGTTGAGACGAGGGTTCGGACCGTTTACAATGCGATGCTGGGGCGGAAGAGACTGCTGGCGGAGGTCAGGCGAGGCGAGGCGAGTTAATGTGATGAGATGGAAGAAAGATTTTTTGGGGGGGGGGGGGGGGGGGGGGGGGGGGGGGGCGGGGAGGGGGGGGG